ACCGATACAACGTGGCGATGTGAAAATGTCCGACTCAAGCAACATCACTGTGACGTCGTTCGTTCAGACATGAAATGCGACATCACATAAAAAATCACTACCAGGTCACACACAAGTGCACATTTCATATTACAAATACATCACACTGCGACATCGATGATGTGGTCGCCGTACCTGTGATATTCGTGGGATATATAATAATAATAATTATTCAACTTCACGTAGAAAATGTTTCTTCTCCGAAAGTAAAAACAGATGATTCAGAACTTATCATGACAATCACCCTAATTAAGTAGTCTTGAAGTAAAACATGACACATATATACATTATTCATAAATGATATATACATATCAAATACACTTACATTATCTTGGGATCTTCCATCCACCTTGTTTTAGATTGCAATATTCCTATCTCAGAGATAATTACAATATAACCTATTGTGATTGAACTCACCGTCGTTCCACTCGTTCCTAAATGATTGTATACCTCCAATTTGAAGCTGCTATAATATGTGCTATAAATCATCTCAGATATTTCAACAGATCGAGAATTTGAAAGGAAATAGTCTGTACGGAGTCGGACTCACACACTGTTCTGACTGACTGACATGGCCATGCACAGCTCAACATGGCGACTGGCGTGTGCGTTCGTTTTGCGCATGTCTGCATCACACTCACAGGTCACAAAGATATCTCATGAGGATATCAATGTGAATTATTTAGTTAACGTCGAAGAGATGTAGTTTGAAGAAGTCGCTGCTACATTACATTGTTTCCTGGTTGCGATGTCACACCTTGCGACGTTGATATCGAATCTACGTCGATAAGATGTGTTAACGAGATATTGCATTTATGCAAGGTTGTTACATCACACGATAGTTAAAATTTCAAATTCATAGCCATATTGGTTTCTTATTATTTTTTCCCAACGACGAGAAGTCTCGGCTTTGAAAATTATGTAGCAATGTGTCTATATTCCTAATGATTTCAGAGAGATGGCATTTTCTGCGTGAAATAACTGTCTCAGAAATATTAAACAACTTTTTCATCTTGTACAGGTCAAACTTTATATGAATCGAGAATGTTTTTTTTCTCCACAAATATCATTGTGTTTTCCTTCAATTTATCAGAATTTTACAATATTTCGATTATTTCTATGCCGATATGCATGAGACATGTTGCGCCGAGTGTAAAGGAAGGGGTTGTGGAAAAACATAAGCAATCATCAATCTGTTTTTTTTCCACAAATATGATTGTGTTTTCCTTCAATTCATCAGAATATTACAAAATTTCAATTATTTCCATATAGATGTATAGATAGTCAAATGGTGTTCACTTCCTATTGAAAGGAGGCATCATGACACATTCATATTTGAGTTCAAATTTTTATTTTCACATTTTTTTATTTAAATGGAAACATTGCCTTATATTTTCTACTTCCAATGGTGAATTCATGAACCACAGGAAGTCCATACCCAGGCAACCAGATGACGAATGATCACGTCACTGTCACGGCTGTAATTGGTGATTTTTCGTCAGAGACGTCACACACCAATTTATGACGTCACTATGACGTACTTTCTATGACGTGATAATCACGTCATCGTTTCGACGTCTAGTGAACTTCACTCAGATGGGTAAAAGAAGACGTCAGTTTCATGACGTTGCAGGGACGTCCTGTCGACGTCCATTTGTCCCAGACCTCTAAATCATGGATACTTACATAATAATATGTGAAACAGAAGTATATAACTCATGAATGGAAATCAACAGGTAAGTTTTATTGGAATTATCAATTTGCCCGAAAAGTAGGAGAAATCTTTTTTCTAAAAAACTTTGACACCAACAAGCTATGTATATATACAAATGATTGTTGAGGTATACCTATATTTTAACCGTTACTCTCATGACGTTGCAGTGACGTATCTATGACGTCTAAAAATCACGTCGGTGTGACGTACCAATTTGGTGAGCTTCGTCATTCAGAATTTTTTCAATAATTTGCTATTTAGATTTCTGTTGGGTGACAAAGAATAAATCAATACACATTATTCAACCAAGTGAAGCCAATTTCGCCAACATCTTTTCCATTGCTATCAAACTATTCTTTGCTTACATCTCGCCGACATAAACTACATAATTTTCGATACAAATACGAGTAACTGATTGCATTCTGATGGAGATGTGTACTGGAGGATAGCGCTGCTGAATAGGCGATTGAATGAACATGACACAGGGGGACGACCCACCAAAAGCAGACTCAACAATGCATAATTCAATTATTATATAATGTCATCAGAGGCCAGTGGTGTTCATCACACCATGTTAAAAGAATCTTTTTTACGTATCATCGCCAAATTTAATCGTCATTTTGACGTCATGACGTCAGTCGGACGTCACAGTTTGGTGAGTGAATGAAGTCAATACGACGTGAGTAATATGACGTCATTGGGCTGTGACTTATTCACGTCATTATCATGTCATGCGACGTCAACTACTGACGTCACCTTGGTCATTCCAGTGACGTGAAAAAGACGTCACTGGAATGTTATCTGGTTGCCTGGGTACTCAAGAAAATCCTGTGATAATAGTTTATTGACTCACTTTCTCACTTTTGGTACATAAAATAAAATGAATGTTCGGATTTTCAAATAATCCTCACACATTGCAGCAGTCAGTCCATGATGAAAGCACAATATACACTCACCCATCAACTAATAATATAATATCAATACCTGCTTAATAAACTACTAATGCCGAGACTTATGCTCTTAATTTATAATAATTTTATTTGAAATTTGAACAAAATCATAAATATGCCGAAAACATGACACTCGTGACAGATATGTCTAAATCCCCAGACAGCACCAGATATTCCATGAATCTCCCTATCATATTCCTTTTGGAATATTGGAATATTCTAGAAATAATCTGGAATATTCCGGAATATCTGTGGAATATTCTCTAAATATGCGAATGGGAATTCCTCAGATAATCATAGAATATACCCAAGAGAATATTCTATGTTGAATGTTCCTGGAATATTCCAATAAACATATTCTAAAATTAAAAAAAGTGACCCAAGTAGGGATCGAACTCGTGACCTCAAGACTATCAGAGCAACGCCTTGACTACTAGGCCAGTAATCGAATTGAATAATGTTATACATATCAAGTTCTTGTGGGAGCATTGTTCGAAAATCCCCTTACATCTAATTGATGTTCGATACTCATATCTCTGGAATAATAAATGGTATTTATGTGTTGAGAAACAAAGGAATATTCATGGAATATTTCATGAATATTCACCACCGACTGAATATTCAGTTGGGTATATTTCATGAATATACCGCACAGAATATTCAGTTGGGTATATTTCATGAATGTACAACAGAGAATATTCACTTTGGAATATTCCTTTTAGATGTTCCAGTGGCATGTATATATTCTAGGAATAATCGATGAATATTCGGAATATACTCCTCCTTTTTAGCATATTTAGAGAATATTCTATGAATATCCAGTGCTGTCTGGGTCAAGATGTTTCCGCTCGGATCTCTTTTGCGTCCTGTCTCCAGATCCTTTTTATCAGCTATTATTGAATTCGTGCATCATCAACGGGACTCTTCAGATCCCGAAAGAAGGAAAACATCCTTGAAAGTCTAGTTCAACTTCATAATAAGATTCGAAAAGCATTTTGAAAATGTTTAATAAATTGTCCAACGTTCACGTCATCTATCATTGAATATGAGAACCCCACGTTCCAACTCTTATTCATGTGTTCATATCGGGAGCTAGTCTGACGAAACAATTGAAAAGTGGGAACACCAGAGGAATTATAAACATCTCAATTTCCAGAATGGGACATATTGCGCCTGTAAAGGAAAGGGTTGTGGAAAAACATAAGCAATCATTAATCGTAATAGTTATAATGTAATGTATACTCACAATACACAGTTTTTTGTATATGTACAAAATTTACAGTAATATATAGACATCACAATGTTCCCTATATTATCCTTTGTAACGCAGCTAACTTATACTTACAGCTAAAATACACTGTACAGAACATTTTGACGATAACTCAAAAGAATCTTAAATTATCAAACTAAACTGTATATTCACATATATATTACATCGTAATTAAAAAATGATTGATTTCTTTATGTATTCTACATATTTATATATAATGTCTGCTTTTAATATTTATAATAGCCATATTTCAAACTACAAAATGGGTAACGTTAAAGTTAAATATATACATCTTTAAAGCCGTGCAAAACTTCGAGATTAGGTTGCTTTCCACTATCGGACATTCTCACACTAACTACCAAATAAACTAAAAAAAGTGTATTAACAAATAAAGTAAATAAAATTCACATCAGCAAAAACTGAAGTAGAGAGTGTGAAAGTGTATCATACATAATATAATATTCGGAAAAATTCAAACACATTTTTGTCGCAAAAAAGTGTTGGAATTCTTGCATAACACAATAAATAAATAAACAACAAGTATTGTAATATAATATAAAAAAATAAACTCTGGCAACGTAACCTCAAAGTTTCGAAATTAAAAAATCATTCTAGTACAAATAAAGACTCATACAACATCTTTGCAAATATTGCAAGGATATTCTATGAATAAACGAAATTGTTTCACAGAATATTTATGAAAATAAAGATCTTTTAAATAAAGACATATTTCTTTTACATAACTAAGTTCAATATGAGATCTCTTAAATAGGTAGTAAGTTATTTTTAGCATTTTTTAAAATATTTTATTTAATAGTAATAACGTTTTGTCAAGAAATCACAGTGAAACTTTTTAAATATTTAAGTATATCCTCGTGGGACGTAGGTTTACCATATCGTGAGTTTTAATCCAAAATTAACTGACTGGTGAGAGTTAGATTAACGATCATAATTCCCGAGATACAAGTCGAATCAGGTTATATTTCTTGTCGTCGAAAGTTGACCACAAATTAGCATTATACGGTAATCACACTGTAGTTATGACTATGAGAAGGTGGGCGATATCTGCCACCCTTTCTAGAAGACTAGGAGCAATTCTTCTCAAGTTTTCGTTGACGAAGTCACATGATGGGAATATGTGAACGACGTAAGCAGGCTGAAAAGAAAGTATTTTCATCAATAAACGAAAGTATTTTCATCAATAAGTTGACAATAACAAGAAATTTAAATTGACTTGGTCGTTTCTCGATGGAAATCCATAGTAAACATCAACAATGATCATTTTTTGTATTTGTTGATTCCTAATGATTCCAAGTGGCAAAGTTTTATTTCTTTTTAATGTAAAATTTCGTAATTGTCAACATAACTAAGATATTTTTGCGATATATGGTTAGAATATGTTGAATTCATTTTCTTTTTAAATACTCCTGATGTTCGAGAATGCGTTTGTCAAATGTTCTACCTGTCTGGCCAATATACACGGTGTTATCAAAATAAATACATACAGGGTGTTCCTGAATGTTATCTACAAAATGATACCATAGACACCTGAGACCAAAGTGATATAATTGAACAAAACACCTTTAAACCAAAACGCTCCGTTTACCCTCTACAGGGCGGAATCGATTTTTTATTATATATTTTTATGCAATCCCCTGTATTTTGAGTTCATGGAGGAATGTGTACCACAAATTGAATAATTCTAAAGAGCATCAGGTATGCATCAAATTGAATTTGGTCAATTGACTTGTAAACCAATAGAAGTATCAGAAACTTTCGAGAGGGTTGAAAGTTAAGCATTGAATGAGGAAATATAAAATAATATTGAGATCTGTTCTGCCATACTCAGAAAAATATCTATCCGAGGTTCTATCAATATTTCTCTTGACTCCAAATATTCAACATACTGCGTGTCAATAAAAATGGTTTGGATTATTTTTTACAAAATTTCAAAAAGATATTCATAGATACGAAGAAGTATGTGAATCTTGAAGGTTTCCGTGATAAAAAAAATACTTAACTATACTAAGGTGAATTTATATCTCCAGCATGGGTATGAACTGCCAAATCTGTCGAAATCGGAAACAAATAAGGTATGCGTCCCAACCCAAATAACCAACCATAACAATGTTGTTTATTCTTGATGAGGTCTAGTACATCCTTTTTAGTTCCTCGGAGCTAAAGTTCAACTTCAGCTCCTAGGAACTGAATGTGTTGCCTAGAAACATACCTATTTTTGTGTCAGTAATAGAAACGTCAATTCAAGAGCTAATTTTGGAATCAAAATGGACGACTTTTGTGTCGGTTGCAGAAAAACAATATTGTTTTTGTTGACTATTTCGGTTGGGACGCATACCTGATTTATTCCCGATTTCGGCAGATTTGGCATTTCATACCCATGCTGAAGATATAAATACACCATATTATAGTTGAGTATTCTTCTTTTAATCAGGAAAGCCTTTAAGATTCACATACTTGCATGATCTGTATTTCATTCAATCTCGGCTTGTTTTGAATAATCACGGCCAGTATTACTTTTTTGTCTCACACAACGATATTGTTTATCTTTGTTTGATTACCGAGCCAAATACAGTGTAATATTGAGAGAAATAAATAATCGCTATTATTATTGTTGATATGCTCACTGACCTAACATTTTCCATTTCTTTTTACACCTGATCCAAATGAATTAATCGATTCAATAGAATACACAAATGGGTTACAGTGGCGGCTCCTCAGAGGAGGCAACGGAGGCTGAGCCTCCTCAGAGATTTTCCTTGAACTGATATTATCTATACTTTCTCATTAAAATGAAACCAAAATACATGGATTTTGATTTTATTTCCTGTTTTTAGGTAAATATTTTTGAATTGGCAACAGTGCTTGCCCACGCATCACACGTTGAAGTCTGCAAATCACGTGTGAAATATTCAACTTGGCAACATCTATAGGAGGCTAGACTCCTTTCACAATGCGCAAGCGCAACCTTGACCGAAACCCACTCGCGCAATGCAAATGACCGAATACGCCCGAATAGCACGTGTTTGTCGTGTCGCGTCGCGAATCGCGAGTGCATTGTTTATGTTTATGTTGGGTTAATGGTTAGGGGCTCTATGAATTTCTGAAAAATTAGTGTTTCAAACGATTGCAATTAAGTGGAATACTTATGGTGAACCCATTCAGTGCTTTGTCTTATGAAGATAAATTGACACCGGAATTAAAAAATCTGATTGTAACAGGTAACAAACAAAATCGTTCGTTCAATTCTGATAATTATAAAAAATATATCTGGCTGACGGGATCTGAGGTAAGGAATAAGCTATTTTTGTTGGTACTGCGTATTATTTTCAACCGATAAGTCATCATGTTGGGGGCGATTAGGATATAATGATTTGAAAAATTTGGCTCGCGGATTGGATAGAACTGCGAATCACAGGAACACATCTCTTCAAGTATTAAGTTCAGGTTAACTGGTAAACAGAATGTCATTAAAGCTATTGATTTGGGTGAGTAGAGAGTTGTTTTTCACAATAAATCTCATATCATTTAGGCTCCTCTGTCATGAAAGTCACGAGCCGCCACGGGTTACTCTGTGGTTGTATTTATATTGAAACTACAATTCGAACATCCTTGAAAATTGAATAAACCTGATCTATAAATGCAGGTAGAATATTCTCACCACACGGATTATTTGTTAGATTTCATACATATGGCACGGCATCCATGTTTTGGGTATAGTTTTGAATTCGTGTCTGTAGTATCTGATGATGCATGTCAACACAAATTTCACCAAACTGAAGTCATCGTCCACCAATATTCTAATGTAAAGTAGTCTGAGGTATTATGATAATCTGTCAAGTAAGTCACATTGGCGGTTACTTCACATATTTTGCTTTCTCTCGGCTCCGCTAGACGCCCGCCTCGAAAATGCAAAATTCGCTTGTCAAACAAAGGGCCACTTTTGATCCTAATAAAACAGTCTACTATTTATGTATAGAATGTTATGTCCCCCTCTTTTTATAAGTCTATGGGTATCCCCCATGAAATGAATATCGACCTATTTCAGCGTTTTTTCATGCCAACATTCTCCTTCTCCCGGAAGTTATTTAGAATGTTTCGTTTTCATTCGCCCATTCTGTATAGCAGTATAGATAGTGGTAATTTTAGTGATTTGAACTGTCGGTGGTTGAAACAGTAACAAAAAAAACAATAATACTTACAGGTTGGGTGGTACCGGGTGCGGCGACATTGACAATTCCGGCTGCCTGTTTCTGTTGCAAATAGGTTATGAATCCGCCGGTCAGGTTGGTAGATTGTTTCAGCACGTCCATGTGGTCGTGCCCACAAGGTAATGCCAACAGCATACAGTGTTCATTTTCCATCTGAAATAAAGTAGAGAAATAAGGTTCAATCGTAACAAGAAACTATCGATAATAAATTGACAGATCTTCGAGAACATGTTGCCGAGTGGTCAAATTTACCGAGCTCTAATAATTAATATCTGAGGTACAGACATATAGAGTTCCATTATGTGATTGTTGGATATTTTGTGTCCAACAATCATGTCTGTCGAATAAATTATTTTACCCGCCATATGAACAAAAAAACATTTTTTTTTTCATAATAAAAAGTATATGAGTTCCATGATAATCGGTTGAGTTGTTTTGGCTTGAAAACATAACAAACTCACATTCATATTAATCCAATATATTATAAAATTCTCCTGTCACAATGTTCGTTCCCATACCTCCGAAACGGCTTGACCGATTCTTGTGAATTTTTTGTGCGTATTCGGTAGGTATGAGAATCGGTCATAATCTATTATTCAAATCGAAAATACAAGATGGCGACTCCAATATGGCGGACGAGTTTCGTAATTATGCACCGATTCTATTCAAAATTGGTATCTGAAGATTTTTGGGGTCGAAGATTATGATTAATTCATCAAAAATTGGAAATTCGAAATGGCGGATTCAATATGACCAGCAAGATTCTCAATTGTGGACCGATTCTATTCAAAATTGGTATCTGGAGGTTTTCGGAGTAGGAAATTATGAGTATTTCGTCAAAATTTGGAAATTCAAGATGGCGGTTCCAATATGGCGGACGAGTTTTGTAATTATGATCCGATTCTATTCAAAATTGGTATCTGGGGCAATTCGGGGTCGGAGATTATCAAAAGTTCGGAATTCAAGATAGCGTTCCAATATGGCGAGAGCTTTGTGATAAATAATGGTTTGAAAAACTATAATGAAACACGCTTTTATGGATAGCCAAACTCGAGGCCAAACTGAATAGAAGTAGAAAATAACAATAGTAGTGTACCAATAAATGAATGAATGAAACACGATTTTATTGATAGCCAAACTGAAAAAGAAGTAGAAAACAAAATAATAAAAGTATGTTGATAAATATGTAACTAACAAAATTGTTTCTAGAAATAAATGTACATAGCAAAACAACGTTTGCTATGTACATTTATTCAGCTATTGTAATAAATCGTAGTTTGAAAAATTAATGAAACACGTTTTTATAGATAGCCAAAGTAAAAAGAAGTGAGTAAAAAAATGAAGAGTACTTTGAAAAAATTGAGAAATATAGAGTGTCGAACTAGTACCAGTATTTCACCTGATGAAGCTACTGTGTTAGCAAAACATGTGTGAATGAGAATTTTGAGGAAATCTTATTGTTCGTGAAGTTTTTACATTTGTCATGAATTTCCATCAGCCGAGTCAATTAAAAAAAAATCAATAGTTGTCGATAAACTATATCATTATTTGATTTGACAAAAGCCAGACACTAACCTGCATCTTTCTCGCCACCCCCTCCACTTGCGGTGGCTCGAGTCTCATCCTCTGGAAGATCCTCAGCGGCGGGGTGGATCCGTCGGTGTTTTTGGGCAGACTGCACTTGGCGACGTCATCGTTACCAGAAACGAAGTACATCTGGACGGCCGCCTGGTCGTTTTTCAGCGCCAGAAGGCCTTGCCACATGCACGGGTATTGCTGTAAAGAAACCGACATCACGTCACCTATTGTCTACATCAATATCTTGCGGGAGTCGGTATACTAACATAAACAAAGCAATTGATAAAGTGAGGTATGTTCTTTTTTACACCACATTTTCATCATTGATGGAAGTGGCGGCACTCTCTGATGCACTGAATTGTTGGAGTCGTCAGTGTTAAAAAAGGCAGTTATTTGACATGACAACCACAACTGTTTTGTCCATTATTCATTTCTCTTCTCGTGATTTGATGATGATTTAGGTTGTTTTCAATTAGAAACTCAGAATTTGCGGAAACTGATGCAAAATGGAAAATGATGTATTAAAAATTTTATTGGAGTCCTTGTCTCCCAGATCCAGATGTTCTAGCAGTTCTTCTGATAGTTCCGAGATTGCCGTGGGCCCACCATGTACTCACGGCGTCGAGTGGGGGTAGCCCCAGGTGACTCCAGGCACCTCTGGTTGAAACCTTGAGGTCCCCACTCTTGTCATGGTAGCGGTACGTGTGAAAGGCCGCGAACGGTCACCCATCAAACGGGACTGGAGGATTCTGGTCAACATGGGTAGTTGGGCTTGCTCAGCGAAAACAGGAACTTTGGTGTACCTTGTGCATGTTCGTCAGGGAGGAGGCAGCCCCAAGCGGTCCTACCGCCAGTCATCGTAGGCAAAGCCGGTTCCTCTCCTGTTAACCAGGTAGAGGAACGTGTTGAAGTCCTCTCACGATCACTCATTCAACGGGACGAGAGGATTCTTGTCAACATGAGTAGCAATCAGGCCAAAGCCTCTTTCGACAGTGACCCATCAAACGTAACAAGAGAAATATTGTTGACATGGGTACCTGGGGTGATGAGGATAGCCCCATCAGGTCGTACAGCGACATGATGCCTCACCAATTGGGTTGGACTCCAGAGGGCAGAGGTTTCCAAAATATACCACCGGAGTACGGTAAAGGAGGTAAAGAAGAATCCTACTATGGGTCGTGGGAGGATATCTTGCCTGCCTCAGCGGGTGAGCAGCGTTTCTGCTCGGGCACTGACACTGCAGAGCCAGTAGTTTGTTTGGCGTATCCAAATCTTTCGTTTCTCCCTGGGGTGCTGTCAGTATAAGTCGAGAGACAGATGACCGGCAGTCATCCCCCAAGGGAGATTTGTGAAAGGGGGGTGATACTTGGTCCCACCTGTTTCTACACCCAGCAACATTATTGTTTGTTTGTTTTGTTTGTTGGTAGTTCCGAGGATGAAATATTGTTTATGTTTGGGAGTAGACGAGATGGGTTAAAAATTCTCAACAACCTATACACAAAACATTGCATTGAATCATGATAATATGGATAGAGTAATTAATAAGACTTCTCTGTCACTCGAAATTTCTGCAATTCCTGTTGGTGTAAATAATGCAGCCATTATTTTATTTTCATATTCTAGATTGATTTCTATTAATTCATCCATATTTTTCCTTAGAAAAATGGCAAACAGCTCTCAAATCCAATATTTTGTTTCTAGTTTTTTGAGGTTGTCCTGTCGCTGTCATTTCGGAAGCCACCAAAATTCGTCCGACATCTCTGTACATCGGTGGAATGATTTGCAATTTTGGTTGACACAACAGTAATAAATGTACGCCTGCTTACGTCAAACTGGAATCCACCAAAGTATATATGAACACAGTTGGTGGATTGATGGAGCCACCGGTGAATAAAAGAATTCACCTATGAACTACATATTATCAACTGTTCAGGAATATCTGATAATCAATAAACTTGAATTGCATGATAAAAACCATGATAATAACAACCAAATATAAATACAAGCCCTTAAACTTTGATGACGAACAATGAAAGAATGGAAATAAGCAAAATAGTATACAGAGTGTTCGGAAAAGTCATGCAAATCTACTCAATCTGAACTAAAATTTAAAATAGGCCGTTGCTTAGCCATTAACATTGTATTGTTCACTCAAGACCTAAGATTTCCTTAATTTTGTATTCTTTGAATTGAACACCCTCAATGTTAGCTACTGAAAACAATGATCAGTTGACCACTAAACTATTAATGGCATTTACTTTATGGCAGCCTGCTCTAAGAAGAAAACTATGAACAGTATTGGCAATACCGTCCGAAAGTCCTCGTGATCGAGTTGAAATTGCGTGTGAAGTTGACAAAAACCGTTTTTGAATTGAGGTTATGTTTTATGTCTTCTTATTTTCGGAATTAAAGTCATTCATTTCAACGTGTAGTATAAGAACATGCCGAATCATTATAGTGTGACTTCACGGCAACGCTGTGTTGCCATCGTCTGGCTTGTTATAAAGTTGGTTGTGCCGTCATTCTCAATTGAAATACACTAAAGTCTCAAAGCCGTTGAATGATCAAAGGCGACAATGGGTAGTCAAACTCACCTTGAGCAGCATCAACAGACTCTCTGCCTGCGGCGGCACCTGACTAGCATGAGGCGGTGTGGCGGCCTGCAGCCCCCGCTGCGTCGTCGGCGCGTCCGCCCCCACGTGCCTCGCCACCGCCCCCATCAAGTTCCCTGCCGCCCCGAGCATGCCGCCCGACCTCTCGATCGACATGGGCGGCCGGTCAGGCAATCCGCCCGACCGCTCGATCGACAGGGGCGGTCGGTCAGGCAATCCGCCCGACCGTTCGATAGCGTGGGGCGGCCGGTCCGGCAGGCCGCCGCCCATAGGCGACAGGTGCGCGGGCAGGCCGCGGTCGCTGCCTAGGGCGGCCAAGGAGGCGTGGCTGGTGAGCGGGCGGTGAGCGGGGGGCGGCTCGCTGGGCTCGTAGTAGCGGCCCGGGTGGTAGGGGGGCAGACGGGAGGCGTGCACGTTGTACACTTGGCCCACTTGCGGCGAGTCTGGAATAAGAGCGGGAAGTGGACGTTTAGTTTGAGTAGCGCAAGGTAGTGTGATCTGACGTTTAATACTTGTATGCTTTTTTTTAATGCGACTGTACAGGGTGAATCAAAATTCAATGTAAATATTTTAAGGACATATTGTTGAAATCAAAATGAGGCTTCTTCATATAAACATGTGTTCAAAAATGTACTCCTTCCGAGATACATCCTCTGTAAGTTAGGGAAAATTGTGACTGAAAGAACGGATCAAATCATCTGAAAATTGGCAAGACCCCGTCTTGTTGGACACTTCATTTCATTCTTGCTTCAAATATGATGTAAACCCAGTTTTGGGGGAGTTGGAGGCGGGTCCACACTTTTATTCGCCGAAATTCTGTGTTTAAAAAGAGAAACTCTGACTTTGAATAGCATAAACTTGTGGGCCATGAAAAAAGTAATCAACGATGGGGAAGTCACGACATCCTTTTCGAACGCAATGGGTTTCTGTTAGGCAATAAGGAATAGTGATTACTTTCATTTTAGGGTTATAAATTAATAGAATGGTGTCGAACATGACATCTTGATTCCCAACCAGTTTCTAACTTACTAAACTTTGAAAATATAGTTATGTATCAGAAACTAGATGTCAGTAATGACAGAAGATCTGTATCGCCCCAGAATCTTGATTTTTTTATAACTGAATCTATTAGACTTAGAGACTCTCAAGTCTTGAATGTTTGAATGTTTAATCTCAAATGCTGAAAGTTTTTTTATAAAGTCAGCCTAATAGGGGAAAAATGCCACTTACCAGTTGCTCTGTCGTGCGGCGAGTGCAAACTATGAGGTACAGCAGCGCCTCTACCGGTCAGAGCGTGGCCGGCCGATCCGGGTCTTCTCAGCTCCAACGGTGGCGACGTGACAGGAGCCTCTTCGCCCTCTTGTCCGTCTTTCACTTTCTCCATTCCTCCGGATCTGCATTTGAAAAAAAAATGATACATTAATGTTTCGATTTATAACAGAAGGATTGGCAGGGGTAAAACGATTCTCGGGTGTCTTCAATGTCGGCAAAAGTGGGGAATTATCAAAGGTAATACCACGAGTCCTTCAAATATCGATAATTTTCTTAAACTTGCTTATTTGGCAAAAATATGAGAACCTACAGTTATCTAATTCAGTTTGTGACGCATATTTTTCTCATTCATTCAAGTATGTCAAGAGCGGTCCTTACAGTGCTGTTGTGTTTGTTACCATTTTAGGGCTTTTTGTGTTTCAATTGATTTTCAGTCCTTTCTTGTTATAAAAAAATATGAAAACATTAATTATTAACAGCCTCTTATGGTTTGCCAGTGAGTGGTATGTGAAAAAAGTCACCATTCAAACCCCAGATTGTTTTTTCGACGGTGAGTATAAGGTTATGTTTCTTTCAACTCGAGGAGTGGTGTAAGTATCGCAGGATATTTAACTAAATTATTGCAAGAAACGTTGTTCCTACTGTTCAAATTCCACTGAATGATGGACCAACATCAGTTAACTACCTAAGCTATTATACGAATATTTAGTATTAAAATTAAAAGATTAGACCTAAACATTTCCTAATATAATAGCGTTGTCATTGTAGTAAAATTGTCTTGCCTCTCGCTTAACCTACGACACCAGTGAAGAAAAATTTGAACATTGACGCACAGTTAACAGCGTTGCCATCTTTTAAACCCATCTATTTCTAACTCATTCAAAACTTTGGAAGAATGTACGAATGTAAACAAATATTGTTTTATGAATGACATGTTATGTCTCCCCTCTCTTCATATGTTTATGGGAATTATGTTTGGGAACACCATAAACTACGATATTCTCACTAGATATGATGAGAACACTAACGGATGCAGAATCAGTTCACACTTTCCAGGATAGGAGACATTTACCGAATTGTTCTCGTCAAATTTGACATAGACTTCAGACAATTAAGAAACATTGTATTTTTCTCTTGGTTAAGAGTATTTTTGAGTTCAATAAATAAAATTGGTAAAAATCTTTTGGTGATAACCAAAAACAAAAGGCATTTCATTTTACCAACCAAACTCAAATAGAAAAGAAAATGCTTGCTTTTCACTATTTTAATGAAATCTAGTGGGTTTGTTTCTAGCAATGAATGGCATCTCTTGATGTTATCGGATTTGTCTTGCTAATTTCAGTGTCATTCCGGGAGGAAATGATAATAGGATATGTTTATGAAGAACTAGCACGCCACTGTCCCTATACATCCTGATTAAAAAACAAAACGACTTTTAATGTTATGAAAACTTGCCAGAATAATCAAGTTCTTTCAAATACCTGAGATTAACTTAGTTCTAAACTGCATACTGTTTAGTTTATAGGGTTATCAATGAATAGTTGATCACAAAAAAATTTGGAGGTGTGCTTTAATAACTGAGCTGTTTACATCTCTATATAAATAAAGATCTGGTGGATAAGCAAGGACTAGTGGTGAGAAAAATATGTATGAAAGAACATTGCATGGACTTACCTAGTGAGGTACTGTTGTTGTCTAAGATATTGTTGGTATTGCAGTACGTGGGACGGATGCATGTAATGTGCTGGGTTGATATCCGGAGGTTGACGTAAAGGCCCAGGTGGAAAGTGAGCAATAGCCTCGCCCTAAAAAAAATATATTTCACGTTCATCCAAGAACTCATTCATTTGTTCTAAGAAAACATATAATTTCCATTATCAGCAACATATTTTCAAGCACAATGATTTTTCCTTGGCTTTTTGACTCTCCAGAACACCAATTTTTTCATGTTTGATAAACTATGTATTCCAACATTCAGGGTCTGAGTACAATAATTATGTCTTTTGTTCTCTGGGTTCTTAATTCTTTATTCAGCAACATAGGAATATATAAAAACAAAGTCAAACTTATTGTTGTTGTTGAGCGCTTTCCATGATTGTGACGTGAGGTCAATGTCGAAAATTCCTGAATTTTGCCAAAGCTATGGCCTGTTTTATGGAAAATATTCGAAAAAAAGTACGTAGAATATTTTAACAAATAGAAAACCTCAAGTTATCGAATGACTCGAGAAGACTTACGTTTTTTTACTCTCAATGTGGAGCTTTACAACCAATTCTTACATTGTTCTAAAATTGTTCTTACCCATCATTCGGTTGCGGTTATGAGCAACCCTCAGAAGTCTTCAAGAGACTTGTTCGAGCAAGGAATGACAGGGTTCTTACATTTTAACGTGTGATCCCAAACACTTTCTTAGGCCATCAGAGAAATTTCTGCGGTCGTGGTGGGAGCCGAACCCACCTAACGGCAATCCAACGTGGATAGAACATTGACGCTTTAACCACGAGGCTGAGCTGGCCACACATGACGGAAAAGAAGCGATCATGAGAAGAGGCCAAATGACTCGAAAAGAAGAAGTATATTTATCAGTTCTACCAAGTCTGACCTCACGATTCAGTTACGCGGTTTGGTGTAAGCCCCATTAGTCCTCATTGACTTATTCTTGAATACGGAATTCCATATTAAACATCTTGTCAACCATGAAAATATGCCTTCCATGAGCAACTAGCTTTCGATAAGTAGAATTTCGGAGAAAAATGGGTCTTGCCCCAAATTTTATTTCGATCTCTATATTTTTTTACAATGATGCCTTCTGATAGTACACCTTGTACCTTCAGCCCTCATAGAGTTTGAAATTAATGTATTTACTTTGATAACACCCTGTATATCCAGACAGTGTCTGGAAACTTCAAGAGCCGCCGCTAGTTACTAATGTCAAAAAGTTTCATTTCAAGATAGAAGCATTTCTATATGGAATTAAGTAACATAAAAAACTTGTTTGAAACATAAATATAACATACACACGCTTGACATTCAATCAACATATAGGTAACACAGAACACCAAAAAATTTTTTGAAAAAGCAATCACCTTTGGTGAGGGAGAATTTTGATGCGCCGGCGGTGGGCTCCGACTACGATTGAGCAGACTCCGTTCCGCTAGCTGCATGTTAGTAGAAAAAAAAACGAGAGTTAGTAATGCCTAAAGAAACCAATTCGAATACGTCACTCACCAAGCTGGCCTCGTATCCGGGTATGGGAACTCCCGTCTGCGCGAGCAGCCTCTGCTGGACGCCCTGCGGCGACAACTTCGGCCGCTGACCAATCATAACGCTGGCCATAGTCACCTCGATCTTGGGCGCCTCCATGACCTTGGGCGGCAAGCCTTGGATCACCCTCAACGCGTGGCTGCCCATGGGCGGCTGCGACTTGTTTAGTGGCGCCCCGCTGAGGATCTGCTGCTGGTGCAGCCCTTTGGCCCCCATGATGACCTGCTGCTTCATGAGGGGCTGATGCTTCACGTGGGCCAATTGGGTGTTGACCATCTGCGCCTGGCTGACCATCGGAGACACCAAGTGCCCTTTGGCAGCCAGCTGCTGTTGCTGTTGTTTGCTGGCCTGCAAGTGTTGCTTCTGCAGCATCGCCGGCGGCTTGACTAGCTGCTTGGGCATGGACTTGGAGCTCATGGTCGAGACGACCAGAGGTCTGGGTGAGGAGCTGGTCGAGCTGACGACGCTCAGGTTCGTGTTCACGGTTAGATGTTGGTTGATGGGAGTCACCGGTTTGGTGATGACGACAGGAGCTGATATCTTGGAGGCCACTATCGATGTCACCGCTTTGTTGATCATTATAGGTGTCACTGTTTTCGGTACAGACACTGCTGGGATGGTTTTGGAAATGACCAACGGCGGTATACCGGGCTTGGACACCACCACCATTTGTGGTTGGGTCGGTACCACGACGGTGGGCTTGGTTTGAAGAGGCGGCTGTTGATGGCTGACTATTGCCTGTGCTGCTTGCGAGGACAGTACGTGAGCCTTGAGGCTTTGTGGTTTCGGTGGATGCACTACGGTGACTTGTTGAGGTTGTGCTATCACGGTGGGCTGTGGTTTCGGTATCTCTTTGACGATAGGTGGTGGAGATGCATCTTTAGTTACTGGATCCACTCGTTTGGAATCACCAGGCAATGGCACATATTTTCCTTCCTCACTCTCTCTCATAGGGATGAGTTCCCCTGTTACAGGATCGATCAAATTGGTGGGCTCTTCTGGATTCATGCTGCTCAGCTCTCCTTTGATTCGACGAAGCATCGCTGCCTTCAAGCCTTCAAACGGTTTGTCTTTAGCAGGTTCAGTGATAGATGCTTCTTCTGGATGAACAGCTTCCACAGGTTTTTCGATTTCTTTATTTTTCTCAGATACTTTGATTTCTTTGATGGCTGGGCTTGATGGTTTGATATCCTCTTTAGCTGTTTCTTCTGAGGACGAGTTTTCTGTGGCTTCTGAACCTCTTCGAAGTTTACGTCCTCTAGGTGACTTTCTGGGTGTTTCAGATTGTACGGCAGTAGGTTTTGGTACCGTCTGTCTTGTTGACCTTCTTTGATTCGAGGAAGATCTAGTTTGTACTGTATTTTTAACAACGTCTTCAATGGTGTCATCCACCGTGTTTTTGGTGTCTTTCTCTTGTAATCTCCTCGATTTTCTGGTATTGGTGGCGATGATAGGAGTTGTAAATTCTTCCTTTGGTTCTACAGATTTGGTGGGAGTATCTTTGATATGTTCCTTACCAATCTCCTTGGCGCCATCTTTAGTAACTTCCTTGACAATCGCAGTTGTCAGTGCGTTGTTAGAGTTTGACACGGCTGGAGACTTGATAGTCAATATCAATCTAGGACGTTCTTTATTCGCCTCGTCAGATTCATCTCGGAACTCATAAATATCTGTTGGAGTAACTTCAGAATCAGACTTGACTGATTTCCTTTCGTTTCGGCCTCTCGCACCTCTGCCTCTTTTATTGGGAGGCGGAATTGCGACTGCCAGTTCCTTGCTGATCTTTCCTCTTCGGGTTTGTATTCCTCCACGATCCACGCTTCCTCCGCGAGCCTTGCCTCTTCCTCTGCCACCTCTAGCACCTCGGTTTCGACTACTAGCACGAATAGGAGATATTTGTTCCTTCGGTTCCTCAACCTCTTCAGGTTCCACATCAGCTTTAATTTGATTCTCGGATTCCTCAGTCTTGCTTGCAACAAGTGGTTGTTCTTTTTTCTCGGGAGTGAGATCATTCAAGATAATGTCGGGTTTAGTAGTTTCATCATTCTTGTGGTCATCAAACCATTCGTCTTTTCCGATTTCACTGCTGTGATCCGAGAGTTCATCTGCAGAACATAACGTTTTGATGACAGAGTCAATGTTGACTTCTTTGGCTGACCAGTAGTCACTGTCTTCCTTGGTATCTAGAGGGTCTTCTTTTGCGAGAATATCAGCACTTCCAGGCCTTTCTTTGCTGATATCCGACACTACGCTCTCTGTATCAGCCTTTTCCTCATCAAACTTCTCAATGTCTTTGATAATGGTGATTGCATCTTTTTCAATGTGTGATTTTTGTTCAGTGTCCAATGGCTTGATATCAACCATCTTTGTGTCAACCACTTTGTTATCAGTCAGCTTAGTGTCCACCAGCTTGGAATCCAGAGACTCAAGCTCACTAATATTTTCCACAATATCTGTTTTGTCTGCAGGATTTTCTTTTTCAGACTTTTCTTCAGGGTTCACTTTGGTTGGTTTATCATCTTTTATCATATCTGGTGAAGATTTCCCTAAAGCCATATTGAGTTCATCGGTCAACATTTCAATGGCAAGTTTGACAGGCTGTTCTTCTACTCTTGGTGAAGTCTCAGATTTATGGACCTCAGTAACGTCTTTCAATACTGGCACGATAACAGGACTTGGTATTGAAGTTTTCAACTCAGGTGCGACCACTAGTTGTGGTTCAGGTGTTTTGGAAGGTTGCATCAACGAGGTAGGAATTTCCAGTTTTGGTATGGCTTGAATGATACTGGGCTGAACAGGTGCTTCGATTTGAGAGCAGGTTGCTAATAGATCTGTAGCTGACTTGGTGATTGGACTCACAGGCCCTGGACGAGGACTCGAAACAGTCTGAGGGCTTGAAACTAAACGAGGACTCGAAACAGTCTGAGGGCTTGAAACTAAACGAGGACTTGGCGCTTGTGATATTGATTTTGGTGAATTTGGAGAAGCTGTTGAGAAATTCGGGCTGTGACAAAGCGGTGGGACTGGTTTCGGACTTGGAGAATTCAATTGATGCCTAGAGTTGGGCGAGAATGGGTGCTTAGGAGTTGGAGAGTTCAGAGGTTGTTTTGGACTTCCCATTGCTGGAGTTGGTGGTAAACCAGATGTCTCTTTGGGAATGATCAACGGTTGTATAGACAGATGTTGTGGCACATTGAGCATGACTCTCGATGGTGCCAAAGATGATGCAGTACTAACAACAACTCCTGTATTATGTGGTAGAGTAACATCACTCGAATTCCTTTCAGTCACGTTTTCAGTTACATTCTCTTTAATGATTGGAGAGATACCATAATTGGAATGAGGAATATTGCCTAAATAACCAAAGTTCTGCGGCGTCAACTGTCTTGTAGGAACAAGAAGTCCTTGTGGAGGTAAGTGTCTGATGTGTCCTTGAATTACCATTCTTGGTTGATTTGCAGGGAAACTAGTGAATTGCGGAGCGTTCTGGTAGACCATTCGTGGCCGTTCTTGTAACCTATGGTCAGAGGCTGGAACTAATTTCGGAGGCTCCAACGAATTCACTACCTTCGATTGTGGTAGTTTGACAGTTGTTGGTTGCATCGGCTTAGAAGCTAGAACAGGCGTTATTGGCAGCCTGTTGTGAATCAAGGTGGGTGGTAATTTGGGCGACAATAATCCTTGTTCTGAAACTGCCGGTTTGTTAATTTGAACAGGAGATCGAGCAGGTAAATTATGCATTTGAGGCGGAGCGTTTGGTGATTTTGCAGAGGCCTGCGAAATCGGTAGCGCGTGTTGTTTCGAGTTGGGGTCCAAAACAGGTGATACACTCAGCTGATCAGGTTTGCTTAGGGGTTTTAGAGGTGGGTATTGTTGCTCGGTGATCTTCAGTATCGGAGTGACATACGGCCTGGCAGATGGAGTGCTAATAGGTTTATTCAGATGCTGCATCTCTACGAGAGATTGTACTGGTACTTTTTTAGTTTCGATCTTGATGACAGTCGGTTGGATGACTGGAACAGGAGTATCTTGTTTCTTCTCAGCTGTCCATGACTGAGTTATGACAGTTCTTTGTGTCTGGTCAGGTAAAAGCGGAAGACTATTTTGTTCCAATTCCAAAGGTTTCCTGACTTCTACAAGTTTGACAGTTTGAGGCCTTATTGGTGTAAGGGATGGGGGACTTCCGATGTTGGGCGGATTCTTCAAAACCAAAGGTGACAATGCAGAAGGTTCTTCATCGCGGCGAAAGTACGATGTTATGTCGGGGGTTTTAGGTACCAATGCAGGTGCTGCTTTCTCTGGAGTCTTTGACGGTTGATCAAACTTGACAGGCGTGTCATCCTGCTCCTCAGTATCTGTATCAATTTGTAGCTCGTGTTCACTTTGCGGCGTGTCTGGTTTTACATCCAGATCAGTGGCGCTGAGACTTTGGACGGCTTGTCTCATTTCTTCGTCGTCTTGAACGTTACTTTCTTCTACCAGTGGTTCGGGAGCTTCGTTGACAGCGCCATCGTCGCTGTAAAACTCCTCTTGTTTGACGCCTCCGAAGCTTTCTCCTAGAAGGGCAGCGACTGCATCTTCTGTCTCTTCTTGGGATATGATGACTCTCGGTTTTTCTTCTGGCAAGGACACAGATTTTTCAGATAAACAATCCTCGTCGTTGGTGGCGTCTTCTTTTTTCACTGCTGTTTCGAACTCGGATATTTCGGATATTGATTTCACAGCGGATTCGTGTATTTTCTCGTCGAGTTCGGTGCCGAACACAGGCAGGAACTTTTCACGCTTCTTCTCTTTCGAAGTGGTAGGAGTACTCGGAATAGGACTGATAATGGGATTCATCGGCGAGATGGAATAATCTGGAGTCAGGGCAGATTTATCGACGGGACTAGTTTCGTCCAAGATAGTGGGTAGACTAGGGTTTTGTGGTGGAGTAGGTGGCGGTAAAGGCTCACTAGGTTCCACCTTGATTTCTTCAGTTGTTGAAACATCTTTTTTAATTTTATCTTCACTACATTTATTTTTGTTTTTATCATGATGATGGTGCTTTTCATGATGATGGTGTTTACTTTTCTCGTCTTTACTCTTCTTTCTTTTCTTTTTCTTTTCTTTGCCCTCTCGCCTTTCTTCTTTTTCTTTCTTGTGATCAGGTTCGTCAACGGCTTCCGTGACGCTAAAGGGGTTGCTAGGGTTTTCGAAATTGGAGATGTCAGCCTCTTTGTTGGTTTCTTGTGACACATCTAAGATTTCATCTTGCATCATGTTTGCTTCGAGCTGTTTGCCCATATCAGCATAATCCATGCTGTTTTCGTTAGGCTCATCTACCGACGTAACGGCTGAAGACGCCGCAGCTGCTTCTTGAAGTCTTCGCTCTTTCTCGCGTCGTTTCTTTTCTTTCCTTTTCCTATGATGTTCTTCCCTTTCCCTATCCTTTTCTGACTTGTCTTTGGTTTTGTGCTCGTGTTCTTTGTCGGAATCACTGTGATAGGCCATCTGGTTCTGACCGTCATCGTCGACGGCAATGTTTGGTTTTTGTTCTCGGTCCACATCTTTGGCGCCGTTTTCAGAGTCTTCTGACAACGAACCAAATATGTTCTCCATTTTGCCTTCCCTTTTACCTTCGGACTTGCTCTCGGATTTATTTTTCTTCGATTTCTTGGGCTTATCACGACCTTCTCTCGTCTTGTCCCGTCGTTTTTCTTTTCTGCTGTGTTCTTTCTTTTTCTCGTGTTTCGTTTTGTCTTTGTCTAGGTTTTCTGGCGAAGCCAAATCTAAAACACTATCAGCTTTGCCAGATTCCTCGCTGCTGATGGAATGTTTCTGTTTCTTTTGCTTTTTCTTGTGTTTCTTTTCCCTTCTTTCTGATCTTTCCTTTTTGGCAATTTCATGGGCTTCCTCATCAGAAGTGTTATCGTGTGTGTACTTTTCAGTTTTAATTTCTAGAGGATCAGTGTTGTTGAATAATTGTGCGTTCACTTCCGTCAATGAATCTTGATGTTTACTATTTCGCCTTTCCTTTTTGATCAAACGTTCCAACTCGTCTTTCATACTTGCAGCATGTCGTTTTTCTTCGTTGTCTACGAACATCTGCGAATTATCGACATCCGAAAATATTTCAGATTTAACTTGTAACTTCTTCTTTTTATATTCATCTTCGGAAGTATCGCTGGTTATTCGAGATTTCAGTCCTTTGATCATCATACACTTAATCTTGGATTCATCATCGCTGGTATCGAGAGGTTCTTGTTTCACATGTTTCAGGATACCTGAACAGTCAGAGTCGGAATAGGTTTCCTTCTTCTTCCTAGATTTCCTGTCTAAACTTTCGTCGTCAGTACTGTCGATGAGCATTTTGGAAGATTTCTTGATTTTCATTTCTGAGGGATCTTTATCGTAGTCGGAATCTTCGTCCCAAGAAGTGGACCGTTTCTTTTCTTCTCTTTTCGCTCGACTTTGTTTGAGCTGGGTGAATTTAGCCTTCAGTTTTCCCTGGCGCTTCTCTTCTTCTAATTTGGCCATGTTTTTGCAGCTTCTAGCTTTCACTTTATCGTACATAGAGATGTAAGCTGGTTCGTCATCGACTATGTCGAATATCGAATGCTTTTTTGGTTCGTCAGAGTCGGTGTCGGAGCTGTTGGTAAATTTTCGGATGCGTTCGCGTTTTTTCTTTTCTTCACCGGTTTTGAAATTCGTTTCGGTGGATTCAAATCGACTTTTAGATAGTTTTTCAGAGATGTGTTCCTTTTCAGTAGGTTGCCTGTCCTTCTTTGTCCTGTCATGATCTTCAGACGAGTTGTTTTTCCGTTTTTCTCGGCTTTCCTTCTCCTTTTGATGTTTTTCAATGTCTTCGTTTGGCCGTAGGTCTAACCTGTTCAAGAAATCCTTGTCAGTGAGAGGACTCTTAGGAGTAGATGTCGATTCATGGGAATCTTTTTCTCGACTTTTACTCTTGGATTTTTGTTTCTCTAGTTTGTGTTTCCTATGGCGCTCTTCCTTTTCCTTGCGCTTCTCCTCACTATCTCTCGAACTAATATGTTTTTCATGGGACTTGATCACATTGTTTTTGTGTTTGCTGCTTTTCACACGTTCTTCTGATCTATTGCTGTCCTTAGAGTCTCGTCTCTCCGACAACTTTTTGTGTTCATAACACAATTTCGTCTTCTTGTTGTCTTCGATAGTCTCGGATATTTCGTGCGAACTCAGCCTGCGTTTGGAACCTATACTAGCAGGTAAGCTGTTATTCCGTTCCTTCCTCTTCGAAGAGTCTGACTTATCGTGAGATTTACTCTTATCAAAATCGATGGACATATGCCTACTTTCCACGAAGCTTTTGTTACTACTCTCACTAATACTTTTGTGTTTATCGTGCACATTGTTATCCCTATTTTCCTTGACACTCTCTTTTCTCCTATCAATATCTCTGTCCGTGTGACTTTTGCTTTTGTCGTGATGGCTACTCCGCGACTCCATCGAGGCATCCCTCGTACTACTGCTTCCAGTTTCTTTGGTGTTCCTGTTATCAATTAAGTGTTTATCTACATTGTTGTCCCTATGTTTACTATCACTATGGGTTTCTCGATGCTTGTGGTCATCTTTCCTTCGATCTTGATTGTCATCTTTATGTCTGGTACGATCTTCCTCTCGTTTACGCTCCCACTCTTGCCTCTCGGGTTTCTCTTGCTGCAGCATCTCGGCCTCCTCTCTTTCTATTTTCTGCTGTGACTCTTTTTCCTTCCTATCTCGTTCTTCCTGCTCCCTTTTTTCTTTTTCATCTCTCTCCCTTCTTGCTATCTCATCTCGCTCCTTCTGCTCCCGCTCTTTCCTTTCTCTTTCTTGTTTGTCTTTCTCTTGCTGATCCTCGCGTTCTCGCCTTTCCTTTTCTTCAGCTTCTTTCCGCTCTTTGTCTAGCCTCTCCTTTTCTTTTTCGAGTTTCTCCTTTTGGGAACGCTCCAGTTCTTGCTTTTCCTTCTCTAGTCGCTCCTTTTCCTTTTGAGCCTTTTCCAAGCATTCTCTATCTGCTCGCTCCTTATCCAGCCTGGCTTTTTCCTTTTCTGCATGCTCTCTTTCCTGCCGTTCTTTCTCCAACCTCTCCTTCTCCAGTCGTTCTTTTTCCAACCTCTGCTTCTCTAGTTCACTCTCTCTCTCCAGCCTCTCCTTCTCCAGCCGTTCCTTTTCGATCCTGATTTTCTCCAGTCTCTCGTTTTCCAGCCGCTCCTTCTCGATGCGTTCCCTCTCGGACTTCTCTCTTTCGAGCTTCTCGTTCTCCTGTTTGATCTTCTCGAACCGCTCTTTCTTCCTCTCCTCGCTCTGGGCCCGCTCTTTGGGCGCACTGCTCTCGCCGTCGTCTATCCTTCTGGCGCTGGTGTCACTGTTCCGTCTCGTTTTAACGTCTGCGCGCGGCGAATTGCTGTTAGAGTCGCGGCGACACGGGATCTTCTCACTCGCGCTCGACACGTTGACCTTGTCACTAGATTTCATCGAAGACACTACAGTGTTTTTATTTACATTGATTTTGCTAGAGTTTTTCGGTTCGCTCACGCACGATTTCAGTCTGTTATCACCGTGGGGGGCGGAGCTTCGCGACGCGGTTGTACTGATGGTCGCGGTGGTTGGTGTTGACGGCGGCGCTGTCGTCGTACCGGCCGGTACTGCAGGCGGGGTCTGCGGGTGAGGCGGGACCGGCGACATCAGGATCGGCGGGTGGGTCGGAAACGGGTACTGGAGGCCCTTGGCTGCTGATATGCTGGTACCTGAAACGATAGAGTTCAGAATAGTTGAGAAGCTGAGAGTTTTTTTATCTCAACGGGATGGTTCGTTCATTCCCTATACCTCAATGTATAGAAAAGATTTGACGTCATGCCGTTCACGATACTTTCACTGATTGGTACATGTAAACAACTCAATGATTGACAATGACAGATTCATTTATTTATCAAACATACCTTCCAGTCACAACAAGTTCTGGTATGAGGAAGAACATAATTATAAAATGATAAGAAATAAATATCTATGAACTACTCGACAAACTACATAAAATAAAACAAAACAATCAATGAACATAGAAAAGCATTCTAGTCAAGGACATAACTTACTGATAAATTTCAAACATTTCTCACAGAAATGATCAGTTTTTCATTTTCTTTTTGAATGTACCCATATTTCTGCAGTTTTCAATTTCATCTAGTAGTTTATTGAACTCAGATAAGGCTGCATTAGTGAATCTTTTTTGTCGGAGTGTAGATCTATTAGCATCAAGGTGAAATAAGTTATATTGTCTAGTTTGATGACTATGAATTTCGAAATATCTTGTCAAAATAATATTTGATTTCAATTTTTTATTCATGATATTATATGATATTTTCAGAGTCTCTAATCCGTACAGTTTGGTCTCTGAATCCAGAAATTGATTCATTATTTTCTGGCAGAATGAATATCTTTTATCAAAAATGAATAAATGACAATATGATACTGAGGGGTAGTATTTCATATTCATATTCCTACTTATATTACTTTACTTTAAAATCAAGTGGAGAGAAAGTCGATGATGTTTTTTCTACATTGGAGAATTATTTTGATATATTTCCATAAGGCTGAATACCTACCTCTTAAATAGATATGATTTGACGTTTTCTGTATGTTTAACGTACGGACATTCTGACAAACACTGACAGTCAGACATAACCACAAATGAATAGATGAGAAAAGCGGAAACTGACAGTACATGAACGGAGATGACATCAATATCAAAGGATTGTCAAACTAAGAACAAATTGGTTAGATAAACAGATGCAAGTTTGTGCTGTTTCTAATTGCAAAAATACTGGGAATTGATTTGACTTCATTTGAATTTCCATCAAATACCTAGAACTCTAGAGCACTGTTACAAAAATGGAAAGAAATCAAGAAGCGGCTGGATTGAAATATAGGTTATGCCAACAAAATTTGCAAGGTATTAAAATGTTTTGGTAGAATATAAAACATCATTTTTCTAATTTCTATGAGATGTATCTCAAGATGCACTTCAGACTGGCTTCAGACTGGAAGATAAAACAAACAAGAATTATATTGAGAGAAAATGCCGGTCCTACAATTAATAAATAGGATAAAATATCAAAAGAACTAACTGATCTAGAAGAATACATAGTAGTTTAACAAACTAACACCCTAATTACAAAACTCGTCCACCAGATTGGATCTGCCATCTTGAATTTACCAATTTCGACCAAATAATCATAATCTCCGACCTCGAAAACCCCAGCTATGGATCATGAAAACTCTTCCGCCATATTGAATCCGCCATCTTATATTTTGACGAAATAATCATAATCTCTGAACCCAAAACCAGCAGATACAATAACATAATATATTATTTTGAATGAATTCGGATCATAATAACAAAACTCGTCCACCATATTGAATTTGCCATTTTGAATTAAAAAATTTTGACGAAAAATCATAATATCCGACCCTGAAACCCCCCCACCCCCCCGATACCAATTTTGAATAGAATCGGATCATAATTACAAAACTCGTCCACCATTTTCGATCCGCCATTTTGTTTATTTGTCTAACAAAAATTTCAAGATGAATTGCTACCCAAACTCTTTACACCTGCCAAATTTCAAATCAATCGATGCGTTTAGAGTGGGTCACATACATACATACATACATACAGGTGAAGCTAATGAAAGGGTGTTAATTGAAAATGGAACCAGAAATTTGTTGGAAATGACATTCATTTCAAACAATATTTTAAAATGGAGATGATTCAATGTACAAAAATTCGGACTGAATAGCAATGAGTGCCTTTGAATATTCACCCAAAAGTTGTAAAGACCGTTTGAGAAGAGATGTAAAAAGGCCGGAATAAAATTGAAGAATAAATCTCTTCTTGAGAATGTTTTGGAAATAGAAACGATACATTTTCTAAATGTTTAATCCAAAGGCTATTTTTAAAATTTTTCTGCATGCAGAAAATCTCAAAATACTTGTCTTGCCTACTCTATTTTAGTAACTGCAACGCATGCAACAATTAGACAAATCGGAATATTTCATATTGCTAATATTACAGCTTGAGAAATTTTTGTGCCTGATTCATGAATTCCATTCACTGATTAACAAGCAAGAACGCGACAATTCAAAAAATCCCAAATGGTGTACGAACAATAAGGGGGCTTTGTGACTTGTGACATTATTGTCTATCCTGTGACTACTGGTGACATAACAGAAGGCCACTCTCTTGCTAGGCTCTCTAGCACTAGAGTCACTGGATGGTATTAGTTTGATAAGAGTTCGGACACAGCTGAACTTTTGTCCTTTTCTATTTTCTATAATACAATGGTTTAAGTGAATAAAAGAATAAGACATATATTCTGCTCTTTGTCTTATCAATTTCCCCAGTATCGCCTGATTGTCAGATACGATTTTAGGGGTTATATTTTCTGTCAAATCAATCATAGCCGTAGATGGACAATGGATATAGGGTACAAACACCCACTTCAATTTACATCTCATAGGAAAAAAGTAGTTTATTCTGACGAGACCAACCAAATACTTGGTTTTGTAAAGTTCTCAGCAACTTCACTTAGCGCCCTAGGAGCTGAGTAACATGGATCGATATGGAAAATATCTCCAGAACGATAACCTCCAGCGAAATTAAGGCCCTTATAATGATTCTCTTAATACATAAATAACTATTCACTTTTCACTGTTAAATTTTGAATTAGGTTGGCACCAAAAACGCCATTCAATAATATATCACGTTGTGGATTACTTGCTTTTGTTAGTTTCGTTTTCAAATTTTCAATTTCATTATGTGATTCTGCGATCATTTCTTCTTTTTTCATGATTATTTCGTTTTGTATTTTGTGTGATGATAATGAATTTTGTTCTTGAAATCGTCTGATTTGTAAATTGATGGAACAGCAGATTCTCTCAATCAGATTTTGATATCTTCTGTTTGAAAATGGGCGTAAAATATAATCTAATCAGATGCTGTTATAAGAAGTGAATTTCAATGAGTACCTCACAAATTTCGCTCGTCTTCAAATTGATTTTCTACCCAGGCCGTTTCATATCTTCCTTCCATAAGCGAATGGTTGATATTTGTTTCGCAAAATTGAATGAATGATATCAATTTTTTTCAGAATTGGCACAATTTATTACACAGCAGGTGATTTCCATGAATGCTCTTTACTCTAAAGTATAATTATCAAATATTATTTCAATTCTGACGTTTATAAAATTTATTGTCAAATTCAAACAATTTTGAATGAAAAAGCGCATCAGGACGACTATGGTGCTCTTGTCACAATGCAAGGTGTGTAACTAAATAAATCTAAACATTCAATAACCCTAACCGTTGTCATTTCTGTGTCCGAACTCTTATCAAACTAATACCATCCAGTGACTCTATCTAGCACTATGAAGAAACTGGTATATTCAAATTAAAAATTGAATCAAAATCGTGAATGCGACACTCACCGCTCGATCTAGGCGACAGCACCGTCGGCGTCTTGGGCGCTTGCACGATTGCGGGCGGCACTTTGACCGCGGGCGGCACTGTCAGCGGCGTCGTCACGGGCGACAAACTGGGCGTCGGGGCGCCTAGCGACGTCTTCGCGAACGGCGCGAACTCCCTCGGCTCGTACTTCTCGCCGACGGTCTCCAACCGCTTGAGGTCCTCGTCGAAGACGGACCGCTTCGCCATCACGGACTTGACGATCTCCGATGGTTGCACCTCCTTGGGTGGGAAATAATTAGTTAATGTGAATCTATGCAGCATCAATTAACAATAACTGTACACTTGGATGGATTTCTCGACAAAATCACGCGACTTCTGGGATTTTTCATACATGAATTAATTTTTTATTTTTTTGCAATTGCATACCTCGTTGGTCCCAAAACTTGTGCGGGGTTAGGTTTACATACAAACACAAACATCCATGGCCAACTAGGATTCGAACCTATGTCTCGGTGGGAGTCCCCATACGAACTCAGCGCCTTCACGCTCTCGACCACCGAGCCGCCAATGTCACGATGATTTTCAAACGACAATGAATTTGACCCAAATAAAAACTGACGTCAGTAGGGGCGTATAATAACACAGCTTCCATATGTTGAAATACGAAGTTGAACTTCAGAAATATTATTTGTTTAATAATGATTCATAAATTCCTAATTATGTGTTAGTAATATAAGCTATGAAAAAGCCATTGTCTCAAAATTGCCCCTCTTATATGTTGTGTCTAATTGCTCATGATGAATTTGTGTTAATAATAATAATTGTATCAATTCACATCAGAGTACATTTGGTCCGGTAAACTTGACAACACAGGACTGTGGGCGTTATCTTGTCATTTCTTACCATTCAGCACAGCATTGCTAAGTCTCCATAGCCAATATTTATATGATGTCATAAACTCGATCAAAAATAAATGGTTATAATATCAAGGCTTCCTCCTATTAGGTCAAATGAAATATTTGTAGTTTAATTCAATGATAGGGGTTTAAACAACTTTTTTATAACTTGATTATAATTAGTGATCTAACAACTTTGCTTAATGAGTGGGAATGGAGGATAATCTGAGCAATAATGAAACAGCATAAAAACTTGACGTCACCAAAGTATCCGAGAAAAGGGCTAAATGGCGGCCATGATGGCACGTTTGGAATAGACACATTATTTACATCAGAAACGCGTAAAAAGTGCTGCAAAATTAAATTTAGGTCTGTATTGACACAGTCAGGCGAGTATACAGTTTTTTTTCGGAGGGGGGAAGTCTTCGTGGCGCAGGAGTGACAGAAAGCAAAGAAGCGCCACAGGCGAAAATTTTTCATTACTCAAAGTCAAATGACTCCAGATTGATCTTTAGATTTAGTTTGTTTCAATCACCCGGAAATTTATATTTCCTGAGGGCAAAAAAATCAAACTATGAATTTTACTTCTACAAAATGGTTGAGTGTAATTCGGTAAGACGATTTGATAAATATGTAAATCAAATTATCGTTGATGGTTTTCTCAATTTCACGACATTTCCACAGATTAAATACTTTCAACAAAGCAAGCTTGAGGAAAATGACATCGAATATTTGTTTACAATTTTGGTTGTCATGCTTTCAAATGTTGAGTTACCGTTTTGTCACTGTCACTGTCAAAGTTAGCTCTAATTTTTTCGTTGTCATAAGGACAAAATCACAGTGACTTACGGGATTTTATATACATTTTTTTTATTTTATTTATTCATTTATTTACGGGAAACCCCCATTACAAGTTTGAATACAGTATGAATATACGAATATAATAAATATACACCGTGTCTCAACACATAGGTACTCACTTAACAATTTCGATAAGGAAATGAGAAAAATAAAAACATGAAACGAAAAACTTATCAAATGAACATTATAATGCATCAAAATTACTGTTATTTATGAATCTTAATATCCTTTCTATTGGATTATGATGTCCATTATTTGGGACATTAAACGTAATTAACTCCAGTAGTCCGGACAGTTCACAGCACCATTCAATAATTATTTAAAAATAAAACATAAATCTAACTTGAGTCTTTTACTACACAATGGAATCGAGTTTAATTCGTTCATAATATGCATATATTGATGGTTTTCCCAAGGAATGTTCAATTTAAAGGCACAATACCTCAGAAATTTGTTCTGTACTCTCCCCATGACTATATTATCAACCTGATAAAGAGGAGACCAGACAATAGATGCATAAGTCAGTTTAGAAATGACCAATGACATATATACTTTCCTTATAGAATCCACTGAGAATTCAGAGCAATTACAAATAACCATTCCTAGAATGTTTGATGATTTCACTGAAATGGTGTTTATGTGATTTACAAATCTCATTTGTTCATCAAAAGTGACCCCTAGATCTAGAACAGTTGAAACGTATCTGAGAGGACTACTGTTTATACTATATACAGTATCAAACTTCTTATAACCTTTGAAAAAGCTAATGAAACAACATTTATTGATATTTAGATGCAGATTACTTTCCATACACCAATTATTCATTCTGTTTAAATCTTCTTATTAATTGACTTGGTCAAATTTTGAATTTATTGTCCGAAATAATTTCAAATCGTCAGCAAATAATAGAAACTCACAGTTCACGAAACATCTACTGATATCATTCACAAAAATGTTGAACAAACATAAATTGAATTGTAAAAATGAAAAACGAACTTACATGCTGCACTTTTGGCACTTTTCAGATTTTTGTGAGAAATAGATTACATAATAGTGAGGTACGCGTTGAATTAAATAAGATTTATTCATTCGACCCTCCACCGACCTTGAGATCCAGATCCAAGATCTTGTGCCGCTGCCGGAACTTCTCCAAGCTGGCGTCGAGCAGCGCCAAGGCGTCTCCCGCCGCGACGCTACCCGCCCTCGACCCTGACCACCGCTCGTACCGCTCGTCCAGCGACCGGATGCGTTCCTCGAGCGAAGGCCCGCCCGCCGGCGCGGCGAGGGCGGCCGTGCGGCCCTCGGGGCGGGCGCGCGGGGCGGCCGGCGCGTCCCCGCTGTCGCTGGAGCAGGGACTGAGGCTGGCGGGGCGCGGGGGCGGCGAGGCGGGCGGCGGAGCGGGCGTCGGCGAGGGGGAAGGTGGACGCGGGTTGGAGACGATGCGCGGGCTGGTGACGGCCGGCGGTGGGCTGGCCAGCGGGTCCTTTTGGCCTTTGATGCCGGCCACCGAGACGACGCCTGGAATCGAATTGTACGATTTATTCGTCTATTGAAAATGTGACTTTCGGTCAGAAACAAATTCTGCTGGTATAAGATAAGATAGATGAATATATACTTCAGAAGATACAAATTTATCTTTAGATAGGAAAATAATTTCTTATTAACAAAGCTTGTACAAAATATAGTCTGCAAAACTCTTGAAAAAATATGAAAAAAATTTAAATCACAACACAAATACACAGAATCGCACAATTTGAAACAAGTTCACACGTCATGTATAAAATCTAATATATTGCAATCTAAAACAGAATTGAACATGTAAATTTGCAGTCTGTTGAAAAACAAAATAGTTTTATAATCATTCACAGAATGTAAAAACACAAATTTACAGAGAAACATTATTTGAACATAGTTGAAAACATAACTTCACAAATGGGTGTCAATCAAAGACAATATGAAACTTCTAATCACAACAGAGTTTCATTGTGATATTCCTCAAGGTTGTAGTACGCTTTTGTTGCAAGGGCTTCTTTCACAAGATTTCTGAACTTTTTATAGCTTTTCTCCTTCCTGATTTCGTACGGTATGTGGTTAAACAGCTTCTTACTTTCATATATTAAAGAATATTTTGTCTGGCCTGTTTTTGGAACAGGGAGAGGTATTTTATTTTTTGTTGCTTGACGGGTTACGTGATTTGTATGTCTCATAGTTTCAACCATATTATGTTTTTTGTAAATCCCCCTCTATCGCATCAAATAGTACCCGCCATGCTCCTCGTCTTACACCCGATTTTTCAATTTCAAAGCCTGGCAACCCCTATTCATGAACGAATTTTGCAAGGTAACCCTATATTACTGTATTCGTTATAAAATTGCCTTCATTTTGATATATTTCATGAGTGGTAAGTATATCGGTGCAATTATTACCATCAACTTGCCTGTTTGTATACGGCAACCATGTAATAGGGACCAGAAAAATATAGGCAACCTAGCTGTTTCATATTCTATATATTGTATGCATTCCATCGGACTTTCATTCATTTGGCAAGCAAGTCGGTGAAATTTAAAAAAATATACAGGGTGAGTCAAAAATGTGTACCGAGCTTTCTGGGGGTGATAGAACATTGAAAAATAAGTGTAGTTTGATGATTAAACTCATGGCCCAAAATGCATATTAAGGGAGATATATCCTTTCAAAGTTGATAAAATTAAAATAATTTCTCCGCATAACTTCTGAACGATGAAAGCCACCCGATTGAAATTTTGTGCATGAATGTATGTTGTCAAAATACATTTTTTCGTCACACTTCCACATTTCTGATATTGTTATAAAGTGTGTTTTCAGAGGGTGAGTCATGATTTTTTGTAGAAAACTTTTTTCCCTGTATTATTTTCGGTGAAAAAACAGGAGCATTTGATGGAGCGAAGAAAATTACATGGAAAAGGTACTCTTATTCAAATACGAAAAATTGAGCCGTTCGTGAGATATTTGAGTTTTTGTAGTTACATGATATCAGCAGATTGATTTTATTCATCGCGAGATTCATCGGTTACAATATTTTAGCAGGCCATGATGAATAATTTTGTTCTCAATTTTGACGTTCATGTCATCAACATTCGAGTCAACATTGTTGTAGTTGATTTGTTTGTGTGGTTTTCCTGTGTCATTTATCACTGCGATTATCAACTGAGATTTTAAGAAATATGGCAGGTTATTCGTTCTCTGAACAAACTGATATGCTTCTAATGCTTGGCGAGTGCTTCGGAAATGCAAATGCTGCTGTGAGACGATATGCAGAGATGTTTCCCGCTCGACGCGTTCCAAATTCGAGAACAACTTTGAGGATTGTACAAAGACTGCGTGAAACAGGATGCTTGAAAACCAATAATAGAAATGGTGGCCGACCCAGAAGTGCGAGAACTGTAGAAGTTGAAGAAGAAGTATTAATTTGCAAGACGAATAGACACAACACAAGCGAATGTAACCAGGATTCTCAGAGAGCAACAGCTAGACCCTTATCATTATTTGCAGGTACAAGAACTGTTACCACAAGACAATGAAATAAGATTGAGATTTTGCGAAGAGTTGCTGGAACAAACTCGAAGATGTCCTGAGTTTTAAAACAAAATATTGTTCACAGACGAAGCAACTTTTACTAGAAACGGTGTTTTCAATTCGCGCAACACTCATTTCTGGACTGACGAAAATCCACATGTTGTTAAAGTAACGCATTTTCAATATAATTTCAAAGTGAACGTCTGGGCTGCGACTTTAGGAGACAAATTCAATGGATACTACATGTTCCCAGGGTCTCTGAATGGTGCAATGTACCTCAACTTCTTAGAAAATGAGTTAGGTACGATATTAGAAGACATTCCTCTCAACATACGTAGGAAAATCTGCTTTATGCATGATGGAGCACCACCTCATTATGTAAGAGTTGTACGTGAATGGCTTAATGATAATTTTCCTGATGGGTGGATAGGACGAGGCATAGACGCTCCTATTTCCTGGCCCGCTCGTTCGCCTGACCTCAATCCACTAGATTTTTCGATCTGGGGTTACATGAAATCTAGGGTTTATTCAAGCGAAATCCGGAATGTTGAGTAGCTGAGGCAAAAAATTGAGAATGAATTTACGTTGTTGAAAAATGATCACCAAACTATAAACGGTTTGATGAATAATTTACGTAAACGCCTCAGATTATGTATAACCGAAAACGGTGGACATTTCGAACAGCTACTTTAATTTGTTTTTTTCCTTTTTCTTCCATTCAAAATTATGTATTAATTAAAAGTACCAAAAACATTATCATATCAGAAATGTGGAAGTGTGACGAAAAAATGTATTTTGACAACATACATTCATGCACAAAATTTCAATCGGGTGGCTTTCATCGTTCAGAAGTTATGCGGAGAAATTATTTTAATTTTATCAACTTTGGAAGGATATATCTCCCTCAATATGCATTTTGGGCCATGAGTTTAATCATCAAACTACACTTATTTTTCAATGTTCTATCACCCCCAGAAAGCACGGTACACATTTTTGACTCACCCTGTATATATTTTCAAATTTTTATTTATCATAGTCATGAACATATTTTTTAATGGCAACCCTATAGGTACATATTCAGAAACATATTTTATTTGATAAAATATAATTTTCATCCGGCAAGCAGATGAGTGAAGGTCGACCTTACTTGGGATCTTAGACTATTATAACAAAGGTATATTTTCATGTTACAAGACGCGCAGCCTCACCTCTGTTGATAAGCTGGGCGGCGAACCGGGGCAGCGGCAGCGACAACGGCCCCTCCCGCTCCCTCCCGCTCGCCCGGCACCGTGGTTCGCTCGGCCCGAAGTGCTCCGGCCTTTCATCGCAAAGCGGCGTGCCCGGCCTGGAGCCGCCCGCGCTCTCCGACCCCGAGCGGTGGTCGTAGGCGGGCGGGCGGCCGCCGTCGCTGCCCGCTGTCTTGCGCCGCTTGCACACGGAGTGGGGCAGGTAGGCGTGGTGCTGCTTGCCCGAGTCGATGGACGGGCGGCGCGACGAGTGGTGCTTGAGGCTGACGTCGGACAAACGGCGCACCTCCATCACCTATTAATATTATGTTGAAAGTATACAGGATATTTATTGGTCAGTTGTACGGTGAATTGATGTACATCATACAGGGTTTGGAAAATTCTGAATTGAGAAAAAACATCGGGTATGAAACTTTCCAAAAGGACTTTTCTCAGTCATAGGAAAAAATATTTTTTTTGAGTCATACAATGAAAAAGGTGTTGATTTTGCGCAGATTTTCAAACATTCTTGTAAAAATATAGGAATGGTTCTAAATATTTTGATATTATAAATATTTATACTGTATGGCACATAGAAAATATTTTTGTTATCATATTTGTCATCAAATTCAACAGGTGTCATTCGATCTCGAAAAGAATGTAAATTTTCAATTTCAGAAGATTTTTATTCTCATATCCTCATCTTAGGTGTTCAACAGATTTTATTCAACATTCGGCGAGGCAAATAGACAGAAAAGTGGTCGTTTTCGGTTGAATACATAAAAATTTGGCACAGTGCTTTTGTTGCTGAACAGTATGTTTGTAATAAAAGATATATCAAATAACCTTACTCAGACATTACAAAATGACGTATTATCATGTTACAATACATGAGAGTCAATTTATTAATACACATACGCACATTTATGAAAATCATGATTCATAAGATAGTATTCATTTATTTATTCATTTATCAAACAAATAACTTCCAGACCGAATCGGATATGGTATGAGGAAGTACATAATTATATACCTATAGGTAAACATTTCATAATTCAAATTACATCAACAAAAACCAATTGGCAGACAAAGAATGATATTTGTAGAGAAAGCATATTAAAACAACATTACTAAAAATTGTATCCAATTCGTTGAGAAACAGTTTTTTCATTTCATTTTTGGATTTACCCATATTTCTGCAGCTTTTGATATGGTCAGGTAATTTATTGAATTCGATTAAGGCTGTATGAGTGAATCTTTTTTGTCCGAGTATGGAGCCAGCAGCGTCAATGTGAAACAAGTTGTATTGTCTGGTTACATGATTATGAATTTCAGAATTCCCTATCAAAATAAAATTCAACTTACTTTTTTCAATTATACAATATGAAATTTCCAGAGTTTCTATTCTATATATTTCATCTGAAGAATATGTATTTGTTATTGAATACAAGAAGACGATATAGTACTTTTAACGAGTTTTTATATAATGCTGACATTTTATTGATATTATTTTTTGCACAAAACCCCCAATCATTTATCAAATAATTGATGCGACCTAGTATATGAGAGTAGAGAATCATGTTGGCAATTTTAATCTTCTTCTCAATGCTTCTCTTTGTCAAAACATCAAATCTGGAAATGGTTCCACAGAGTTATCCCCATCATTCGAGATTTCATTATTGAATCCGTGTTTGGCGTTTAGGATTGTTAATTGTTGGTGGATACGTTTTAATGCTCTATGAATGAATTGCGGTCTCTATCTGATGTTATGTCATTTCATTTTACCTTCCTGTGGTCCCGGTTGGCCTCGATGACCACCTCGCTCACCAAGCCGCCGTCGAGCAGGTCGAGTTTCAGTCGCTTCTTCGGGCTGATGAGCTCGTCGCCGGAGCTCGGGCATTCTTCTAGTTGTTCCAGCAGGTGGTGGCGCTCTTTTTGCAGGTGCCTCATGTCAGGCGGCGCGAACGGCGCCGCGGGGTCGGCCAGGGGGTCCAGGTGGATGGGGCTGCAAACACGAGTTTATGTTCAGATGATGAATTAGTCCATGGGACAAGACTCCAATTCAATATTTATTTATTTTTCATTATTTTTATTCATTTATTTATTCACGGGATTAACCCCATTACAGTATGAATTTAAAAAATATATATATAAATAACACATTTGAATGTGCCAGACACATTAGTAAGTATATGGAACATATGCCTACCCAACAATGGCTATGTAACTAGTTTACACATGACTATTCCACTCTTGATCTCGAGAACCAATCAGAATCGACCATTTTCACGGTTTCTTCTGTATTCTAGCGATATTTTTTGTTTATTAAATTCTATCGGACTTGCTCTACCAATACAGAAGCCGAATTGACCCACACGTGACCAACAAACCTCGTTTATCAGCGATAAAATTTCGACATGGTGTCTGGTCCGGATTGCTTTGGATTCAAATCTGAGACAATAACCTATTTTATTTTTATTATGGCTGGACGTTTCGTGCGTAATTTAAAAAGTTTGCATATTTGTTGACGATCTGACACAACAATACTAGAATTCAAATTCCTTTTTGAAGTAATCTTCTTCAATCACTCAAGTTATCCATGTAACACTTCTTCACACTGGATATATTTCTGTCTCCTATATGATGAACCTGTCACATTGAAGAAAATTGACCATGGACTTTTATTTATAGGATAAGTATTTCAGGATTGGAGGTATTATTGACTCGCGCGGAATGTACAACTGATTCGAATGCTGTAAAAATACCATTTTGACAAAATATGTCACATTGGAGGTATTCACATCTCAACGACGAAACATGGTTCAGCAATGTCAATTCAGTGGAAAAAAGTACCTGGAAACATCCCGCACGAACTCGTACTCGTGCTCGTACCCGTCATCGTGCGACGCCGCCGACCCCTGGCTGTACTCGTCGTACCCGCGCGAGTGCGCATGCCTGCCCTCGTACTCCACCCCGCCCGCCCCCGCCGCGTCGTAGAACTCGGCGAAGCGGCGCGACCTCGACCCGCCCCGCGGCGTCAGCGAACCCTGGGCGGCCGCGGAGGCTGCGCTGGGCGACTGGAGGGAGGCCGGGCAGCTCGAGGGCGTCAGGCTTGAGCGGCTGCTGTAGGACGAAGTGCGAGCTCGGGCGGTGGCGGTGAAGTCGCAATACCTGCTGCAAGGAGAAGAAGAAGAGCTAGAGTCAAGTAATAATTTGTATTTACAACCATATATGTAATGTTGTCATTACTAACGTCATAGAAGGTTGGGAAGTAACACATTACACACCTCTACTTCCCGCCCTCACTTATGTGATATCTTAGGTATGTTCAGGAAGAAACTGGGATTTATTAATTTTGATCGTAATATGATGGTTGTAAATGAAATAGTATACAAACCTCGGTAGGGAGTATCATTCCTGTCTCGACATTATAGCTAACCTCGACGCTTTGCATCTCGGTTAACTAACTAATCCCACGACAGGAATGAATCACTTCCCACCTCGGTGTGTAATGTACTATTGTCGGTTACTCAACCGAAAGATACATATAATGATGAAGATGGAAAGCCCTAGGGTCCCTTGATAGAAATTGACGTTAAAGTCATCTCAACAGGGTACGGACAGATCCTCGTCTCCTCTCACTCTAAAGTGTTTGTGAAACAGTTATATAGTTCCATCCTTATTCAATTCTGGGGATAAACACTAGATTTCTGACATTTGTTGCTTTTTAGGTTATATTGAGGTCACTGGCGTATCATAAGTAATTTCCATATGGAATTCCTGATTCAACTATACCAAGATATAGATGAACAATCCTCTAGTTTTGGAGTTTACTACTCCAGCATAATCTTTGCGAGGTAGGTAACATATAAATTGTACTGATAGCTTGATATATTTCACCAATAGAAACTGTTCTTAGACTGTATATACCAGGGTTGACTGAATTGACTAAATGAATTCTGATTTCAAGCTGAGCAGAAGTTTATCTATGAGCTGAATGAGCTGAGCCTAATGATTGAGAAATGGTGGAAACCTAGATGTGGTTATCTGAACTACTGTACTTATGTCATGTGTGCTGAATATATTTTTGGAAATCCAATTCGGAGAAGAATTTATGGAGTGACTAATATCATATCACACTATGTATAAAACTTCGTCTGGGACGAAAAGTAATACGTAAAATGTGCAGGAAAATAAAGACTAGAATATACTATACCACCATGTTATACATATGATTTTTCCGTCTCCCTGCTTGAATAAAAAGTAATTTTCGAATAATCCATTGATGAAAAGTTACAAAGAAGTAGGTATACGCAGTATAACTTATTGGCACGTTATTCTCACTCTTGCATCCTACATATTTTTTATTTTTGGAAGAGTAATAATTATATAAGCTAATGTCTTTCACCATATTGGATCCGTCATCTTGAATTTTCAAATTTTGACGAAATAATCATTATCTTCTACCCCGAAAACCCCCAGATACCAATTTTGAAAAGAATCGGATCTTCATTACAAAAATCGTCCACCATATTGGATCCGCCATCTTGAATATCCCAATTTTGACGAAATAATTATAATCTCCGACCCCGGAAATCCCCAGATATCAATTCGTTCGCCATATTGGATCCGTCATTCTGAATTTCCCAATTTTAACAAAAACTCATGAAGTTCGACCCCGAAAACCCTCAGATATCAATCCTAAATAGAATTATATCATAATTAGAAATGTCTTTCTCTATATATTGGATCCATCATCTTGAATTTCCCAAGTTTGACGAAACAATCATTATCTCCAACACCGGAAAAATCCAGACACCTTCCAATTTTGAATGGAATCGGATCATAATTACAAAACTCGTTCGCCATATGTATATGATCTTCCTCAACAAGTAAATACCCTGTACATACCTATTTTTTAAATGTTTAATGATTTTCTGTAGCGCTCATGGATGTGACGTGACAGCAATGTCAGGGATGCCAGTAGACAAAACTAAAGTCTCTAGATCATTAAAAAAGAATGCAGCTATGATCTGTCCGTACCCTGTTTAGATGACTAAGGTCAATTTACATCAAGGGACCCTAGAAAGCCCTAATTTCGAGCAACAATGGAAAATAAAAAAACTCCACCGCCCCATGTGAGAGTCGAACTCACAACCTCTAGGTTACATGCCCAACACTCTGCCAATCATCCATTTGAAATTATTGGTCACTTTGGCCTTGTAACGTCCTCTATCATCACTAGTAGGGAAGTTTACAACCTTTAATATTCAGTATCCAAATTTCACTTGTTTATGTATAATCGTTTCAATGATAAGGGAGGGAGGGCACTTTTTAGAAGCACAGTATGTAGATGTAATTCTACCTTATGACCGGGAAAGTATTAATGTTGTCAATCTTGACTTTCATTGTTACTGTCTAGTGTCTCTGATGATGTTTCTCATACCTTGCCCAATGGACTTCCAGATGTGGAGATCCACAAGGATCATTAAACCTCTTGAAATACTCATATGTGAGGGGAGAGTTGTTGTATATTTGAATTCTACCTTATAACCACGAACGTATTTATGTTGGCAATCTTGACTATCATTGTTACTATCAGTGTGTCATTGTTGTCATGTGACGAAATAGGAAGGGGTATTGGGATTAATCAATTATTCATTGAATCCATTCATCTTTCATCATGTTAGCATACAGATAAGGAGGCAATACTGTTCGGTGAATAAAATGCCAGCAATGTATTTCTCTCCACCTTCAAGATTTTAGGAGTACATACACAACATGTAGCTTACCTAGAAAATCTGGAAACATTGGACGCCTCGAAACCCCTCGTCCCGATCCCCCTCTCCTCGAAAATACTCCTATCCACCATGCCGCCCTGCCTCTCCAGCCTTTCGAAGAACGCCTCTGTGCACTCACGACTCGCGAAGTCCACCTGCATCTTGCTGCCCTTCAACGTGAACCCGCGCATCTTGCCCACCGACGCCTGCGCGCTTACCAGCTGCTCGAACACCACCAAACCTTGAGAAGAGATCAGAGTTGTCAAATGTGGCACAATTGTGTCCAAAAGGGGCACTTTCAGCTCTGGAGTGGCACCAGGGCACGCACTATTCGCGAGATTCACTAAGTGGGCGACATCTAGGTTACATAATATGAACTTCAAACTGGGAGAAAACAAACTGTTGTCTGTGGATAAAGTGCATAGACTACATTGCATTCAGCTTGCTGTAGCTCAAACTTGTCAATGACATAAAGTGTTGGCACTGTTGGTAGTGATGATGGTTGAGCTGGTCAATTTTTTTACATTATTACATTCTTATTAGTTTAGTGAACAGTGAAACGGTGAAGAATTGGAGATAGTTCAAACAATTCAAACTAATTATGACGAGCAAATCAATTGACATATAATAGAACAGCTACAACAAGTTTACAATATCCAGATTGTCCTGCATTGCAGGAACAAATACAAATCCATTGTTCTACAGGAGTTCCTCTGGACCCCAACTTCAATTTTACTTCAGGTGGGGAAGATTTCATCGCCGAAGTTTGTAGACAAAGTGCAAAAATGTGCCTTTTGTGGAAGTCTTCTGCCTCACACAAAATCACATGATTAGCACGGAGAAATGCTTCTCCTTCCACTACTGGTCGGCTTTTTCATCTAAATAGAGCAAAATATCTGCCAAAAGAACATCTACCACAGGCATTATCAGCTTTTTCGATCGAATATTGACAATTAATGTCAAGAGATTTAAAAAACTTATCACTCTTATCAGTACACAGTACACAAGCTAATGGCACTAATGGGATTGAGTGAGGATTGAGTTTGTTTTCCCCCAGTTTTGACGTGGCTTTGACATGGAACGATGAAAACCGAGCGCCACCTGGTAACATTGATTCGCGCGAATAGGTCGCGTGCGCATAGATGCAAAGAAAGTCAAATGGTGTTCTCACTTCCTATTGAAAGGAGTTTCGAAATCTCTTGATATCGCTTACTTTGTAAAAATAGCGAGGCGTGAGAGAATATTGCTGAATTTACGAAGTTTAAAACCAAATTTACAGGCATCATGACACATTCATTTGAGTTCACATTTACATTTTCACAATTTTTTGTTTAAATGGAAAGGGTGCGTTATATTTTCGACTTTCAATGGTGAACTCATAAACGACACAAAGTCCCAACTCAACAAAATCCTGTGACAATAGTTTATTTAGTCACTTTTGGTACATAAAATAAAACGAAGGTTGATGAAAGCACAATACACCCACTAAACTGATGATATAATATGAATACCTGCTCAATAAACTACTAATGCTCTTAATTCATAATATTCTCATTTGAGATTTAAAGAAAATTATAAATATGCCGAAAATATGACACTCAAGATGTTTCCGAACGGATTATTTGTTGCGCCCTGTCTCTTTCGCGTCCTATCTCTACATCCTTGTTATCAGTTATTATTCAGGTTCCGAAAGAAGGAAAACACATCCTTGAAAGTTCACTTCAACGTGGTTCAACTTTATAACAAGATTCGAATCGCATTTTGAAATTTTTCAGAAATTTTCCATCGTTCACGCCATCTATCATCGAAAATCAGAACCCCGCGTTCCGAGCTCGCATTCAATTGTCTATATCGAGAGTTAGTCTGACGGAACAATTAAAGAGTGGGCACACCAGAGGAATTATAAACATCTCAGCGTGCACGATGACCGACCATGGAGGTAAAATATTGAAACACAACCTCACTTCTTTTATTTGTTTACAGAGGTATCAAAGGACTGAAATAGTTTTCCCAATATTTTGGCATAGGTATTAATCGTGTTTTTCGCGCTATTCATTAATTCAAGCATGCCTTCTCATTGTGCTGTTGGACAATGCACAAAAAATGCAGCGAGAGACGAAGGAATATGAGTTTTCAGGTGAATAGTAATCTCACATAGTTTTCATTATGAAAGTTTGTCATTTCTTATCAATATTCCTTCTGCCACTTCTGCAATAAAAGCTAATACTGCTATTAGATTGAAAATATCTACAACACACACGATCATATTTCGTCAGCACGTCAGACCAGTTCTCCCGTTTGATTGCATGAATCCAGTCCTGCATTATTTTAGAAATTTCACATTAGCCCCTATTGCAGAAGGAATTCCGATGAGCAATCGGACTATAGTAGGTACTTACTTCTAAATCATAATGTACCAACAGGATTTCTTCGTCTCCCGCTGCATTTTTAGTGCATTGTACAACAACACAATTTGATGGCATGCTCGAATTAATGAATAGCCGAAAACCACGATTCGTATGCCAAATAATTGTGAAAAACTATTTCAATCACTTGTGAACAAATGAGAAAAGTGAGGTTGTGTTTCAATGTAGAATCAACGTCTCGCTCGATGTGACATAGAGATATCATAGTAGGCGGTCGAGCTATTTTTCTCAAGTTTTCAATACGTAAAAATGGCCGACTACGCGCACCATCTACTAATTTCCATCATTATTATGACCTTGAGAAAACGGTAGCCAAATTTAGAGAAACCTAGCGAAAAGCTAGCAGCAAAAAGCTGGTGTGGAAGGTCACCTTTACTCTGACGAAACAATTGAATAGTGGGCACACCAATCTCACCTTGAGCTTTCTCCCTGTCGATGTACACTCTGGCAACGGCGCCGAACGTCTCGAACTGCATCTTCAGGTACTTTTCGGTTACGTTGTCGTCGATGCCGTCCAGCCATACGATCGCGTACGGCATCGACTTGCCGAAGCCGAGTTTGATGCGGTTGTTGCCGAGGTGTTCGCCGTCCATCTGCCGGATGGCCTTGACCACGCTCGCGATGTCAGTGTACTGGCAGAACGCGTACGAACTCACAGCCCCTGATAATAAGAGATAATTATTTTAATCATTTATTTTCCTTTGGATAATAGTATACCGGGTGTTGAATAATCAGTGTTCAATCGTAAAATATTGAAAATATCAGTACTTTGACTTTTAGAAATACAGGGTGTCCCAAAATTGCTGGGACACAGAGCTACCACGTGTAGAGGAGGTCAAAATAAGCTGATTGGACCCAATATATTAATGTGGCAAAATATACCGTTTGTCCGTGGGAAGGGTTCAAAGTTCACATAAAAAATCACATTTTTGTATGCTGTTCAGTTTTGTATGCTGTTCAGAAATAAGTGAAATGAATTTGATGAAATTTGGCAATAGTGTATTTCAGAGGATTACTTTCCTCATGGTAATCGAAGAAACCTAAAAGAAATTGTAGAAGGGTTAAAACCACCCTCACCCCCTGACATTTTCTTCAGAACTTTTTTAGGGGTTTCAATACGGTTCTGAAATTTTTTGAGCTTGAAGACTGATCAATTATCTTCATTTTATTACTCCTGTAAAAATTTCGTATACCGCATAGTTTCGAAGAAAAAAATGTTCTCTCAAATAATACTACCAGGTATTCCTATAGTACAAGTTCATTTAAATTGTGATATAAAACTTAGTTGGCAGTGGAAAGGAAGGCAAGTCGTGATTTTGACAGGAAACAAATTCATTGACATTTAGTTTTCTTCAACATTGTATCCGCCGGTATTGACTCTATTCTCGTCAATACGAATATTCGGTCGAGAAAGTTTTCGTGTCGGTCTCTTGAAAATTCCCTGTGAAGTTCGTACACCTGCTACACGGACAGCTCCATCTTCACCATCATAAGTTTTCACAATTTTTCCCACTGGCCACATTCCACGAGGTATATTATTTTTGTTGTTGCATAATCAGTGTTCAATGGTTTCGAGGCGAAACAATCCAGTTGAAAGAGGAGGTCAAATACCTCGGGGTGATATTAGATCCGAAACTGACTTGGAACCAACATCTGGAAAAGACAACCAAAAAAGCGGTAACGTCACTGATGATGACCAGACGCTCTTGTGGGAAGAAATGGGGACTGAGACCAAACATGCTGTACTGGTTGTACAACAGGGTGGTGATGCCTTCCATAACATATGCCTCTCTGGTATGGTGGAAGAAGACACTACAAAGAGGAGCTATAACAAGACTGAGCAAGATACAAAGACTTGCATGTCTAGGAATCACGGGGGCTATGAAGTCAACGCCAACCGCAGCCATGGAAACACTACTGGATCTGCCTCCCCTCCATTTGATGGTACAGGGGGAGGCGAGACTTGGTGCCCTAAGACTGCAAAATACACTGGGCAATGTTAACATAGGAACAGGACATATGAGCATCGTCAGAATAGTGAACAGGGACATACTTAATATGAGAACAGATCACATTTCGAAACGATATATATTTGACACTTCATTCAGAGTGTCCATACCAGACAGATCTGAATGGAATGACGGAGAACTCAGCACCATACTGCAGGGAAAGATCTGGTATACAGACGGGTCCAAGACTGCGAATGGGTCAGGAGCAGGAGTATACTCCAAACATCCGGAAACTAGCCTCAGCTACTCATTGGGGAAGTACGCTTCAGTTTTCCAAGCAGAGGTGTACGCAATTCTCCAATGTGCGGAAGAAAATAACAGGAGAGCTGTGGAAAACGAGCAGATCCGTATTATGTCAGACAGTCAAGCGGCACTTAAGGCAATAGAAAGCCAGGAAGTGACATCTCGACTGGTATGGGATTGCAAGAGGGAACTGAGAACTTTGGCAGACCGGAACTGCGTCAAGCTAATCTGGGTGCCAGGTCATCAGGGGATCGCTGGCAATGAGAAGGCTGACGAACTCGCAAGAAGAGGGTCGGACAACGAGCCAGATCCAGGACAGACTCTTGGAGTACCAAAACGTACAGCACGAGGGTCAGTTAAAGACTGGATTCAGGCAAAACACAAGAGCTTCTGGGAAAATATCCCAAGAAACAGACATGGGAAACAATACATTAAGGAACCAAGTCATAAACGAACTGTAGACCTGCTCAACTTGAACAGAGCACAGATAAAAACTGTTACGGGACTCATGACTGGCCACGCGCCAGTAAAGGAGCATCTCACCAGAATGGGACTGTACAATGGCGACCCAAGCTGCAGATTATGTGGCAAGGAACCAGAAACAGTAGCACATATACTGTGCCGATGTGAGGCATTGGACCGCAGAAGACAGAAGATCTTTGGGCAACCAGTTGGCGAACCAGAAATATTCAACTCACATCCAGTGAAGGATTTGTACAGACTTGTTCAAGGTACAGAGATAATGGAGTGGGCACAATAAAGAACATTAGGTAAGATACAATGGGCCACCATAGGCCTAAGTGTCGTCGGAGACATGGTCAGACGAGCCTACAAACGGGGTGGAGTTTTTAGTGGGTAAACCCTGGCTAGAGTCAGGGGAGTCCCACACTACCATATGGGGGATAGGACCCATATGGTGTCCATAAAGGATTTAAACCACCTCGACAAAAAAAAAAAAAAAAAAAAAAAGTGTTCAATGGTAAAATATAGGAAATATCAGAACTTTGACAAGTAACAAATAACAACTACCAAAATAAGAATATCATCATGGCAATCTTTAGTTTTCTTCAACACCGGGGGTCCACGAATCTATTAGACAAGCCATAAATTCATTCTGAGCTATGCGTGTATCTACGTACCTTTTTTTTTTGTTTTGTTTTTTTCGATTTAATGGCATTCATTTTTTGTCTAGTGTGTATTTTAGGGAGATTTATACACAACTAGAGTATAAAGACAATTTGGTTTGAACAAGAAACGACGTTGACATTGTGTTAAGAAAGCTCGAAAATAATCTTCCTCAAGTGACAATGACAAGCCGTGGAAACCATCCATTTTTCACAAAGTGATCCAGAATTTTTCAAAGGAAAAAGACAAAAACCTAAAGTCGGTCGACTACATAATCATCGTTTTATATAATCTTGTGGTCGACATACTTTGGGTTTTTGTCTTTTTCCTTTGACAATGACAGTTGTTGTCAAAGTATACAAGTATGTGTTTATTGAAAGCAAGGTGCATATATATCTGTTATTGGTCAGTTTAACGAAATTGAAGAAATCTAATTGGTTCTTAGAATAGGCGTGTCTTATTCGGAGAAAAAAAGCAGAAACGATGGTTGTCATTAATGTTAATGAATGGAGGGTAGGTATTACTATTCATCTTTTTTCTGCGGTTTCTGAAGTCATGGATATAATACCAGAATATCCGTTCGGCTCACATCTGCTCTACATTATATTTCTCTAATAATGGTGTTTCTTTCTGATATCGAAGTTTCTGATAGTCCAATATTTTTTAATCATTTTTACCTGGAGTACTTACATTCCGGCCCTGATTCATAACATACATATCCTTCCACTACTTTTTTCGTCCTAGACCCTAACTTTCAATTTCTGCACCGTACTTCCATCACTGCTTTCACAATTTCCAGTCTTTTGTTCTGTTCTTCATCATAAAAATCAATAGGACACTAAGACAAGAATAAAGTATATGCATTGCATACACTGCCACTTGCCTTATAAGACCATAAAAATAACTTTCAGCGTTTTTGCTGAGTATTCTTCTTATCATATGACTCTTGTTCAGTAAAAGGTTGGAATCAGAATCAGTTTGCATGGTGATGTTATCACGATTTATGATCTATTTGTTCTCATCTCGTCATATTTATTGGATTATTAAAGAAGAGATCTTTATTGGATACCTTGCTTCTTGATGTCAATCTCAATGATCTCGCCGAACTGGTCGAAGTGTTTCCTGAGCTCGGAGGCGGTGACGTCCTTCTCCAGGTTGCCGATGAAGAGGGTGCGCGTGGCCTTGGGATGGTACTCGTCGATCTCCGCCTCGTAGGGCCGCTGGTCGTTGTCGTCGACGTCGTAGCCTTGGTAGGGCGCCACCTCGATCTTGCAGCCGAAGAACAGCTTGTCGTAGCTCACCTGCAACAAGATGAAGAACCCGATGGATGATCACTTCCGATCTAGAGCCACTAGGTGGCTGGGTCACTGACATAAACTACTATCTAGACCTCAATGCCGTGAGAAAGAAGCTACGCCACATAATATATCTTCATCGAGTCATATCTGCCAAATCGTGTACAGGTGATATCTGTTTCAGAGGGAAAAGAACTATATCATTCAAGGAAAGTTGATATTTAGCAAAATGTTCCTCAAGGTTCAATACTTGGGCCGATCCTGTCTTACGATATATAAATGATTTACAAAAGGCCTTTCATCCGGATAGTGTTTACCAGTTTGCACATGATATTTCTGTTAACATTGCACACACACAACACTCTTTCTTGCGGAATTGATTTACCTGAGTGTGCTAAAGCTGATGAAAGCCGCCAGCTTCTCAACTTCGATGTTTCACTCAAGCAGCTTTCAGGTGTGAGAACACTTTCAAGCTGACTTTAGGGCCTTTGTGTCGTCCAATGGAAGTAAATAAGTGAGTGGCGTTAGTGTGATAAAAACCTACATTCAAAAGCCTTACACACTCTAGGTCTGAAAGAATGCCTGTGAGTCTCTTGCAACCCAGTATGATAGACATTCGACTAGAGAAGTCTTCATGTTAGTTGGTGGTTGATATTTTGAATGACTTTAGTGGGTAGAACAGAAGGTAACCCTAGAGCTTCCAACCAATGATTATGCATTTTGTGGTTTGCAGAGACTTAAAATCAAACGAGATTGTACAAAATGAACGTTAACCACTGGAAAAACAAGGAAAAAACAAGTCAGTGAGAGTTTTTCTTTGCTCCTTCTCTCCACACTGGCCAACTTTGATTGATGTCATGTTATCGCTACTTAGTGGACCAAAACAGTACTGGCTCGCTCTATGTTATGAGATGCAGTGTTTCGAGAATCGATAATATCAATTTTCTGGAAATCACTCCGCAGTGTTATCCCCACCATTCGCGATTTCATTCATATAACTATCTATTCTGAGCTTCGAGTAGGCTTTCTCTACGTCCTCGGGCTTCCTGAAGCACACGATGGCGTGCCGCTCGGCGACTTTCCCCACCACCTTCCTCCACGTGACCTGGTCGTGCTTCTTGTACTCGCGGAAGAGGCCGTCCTTGAGCGAGATGTCGGACGACTGGACGGACAGGTTTCCCAAGCAGATCGCCAGAGGGTGCAGGTCGTCCGAGTGGACAACCGGCTGGTGGTGGTGATTGGCGAAGTTTATGATTGACCCAACAAACCTCGAAATTATCAAGCTAAGGGGACTAACTTGAAGAGGCTTTTACGCAACATAATGTTTTTTGGCGTCTCACAACCCTCTCTAGCGAAATTTAATTACTTGAGTGTGCTAAAGCTGATGAGAGCCGCCAGCTTCACAACTTTCATGATTCACTCAAAACAAGCTTTCAAGTGTGAGACCACTTCCAAGCTGACTTCAGGAGCTCTGTGTCCAATGGAAGTATTCTCAAGTGAGTCGCAGAGGCTACTTGCTTGGCTTTCGCGTAATAAGAACCTACTTCCGAATACCTCATACACTCGAGGTCTGCAAAAATGCCTGTAAGTTTCTTGCACCCCAGTATTATTGACATTCGACTCGAGAAATCTCTAAGTTAGTTGGTGGTTGATACCTTGGATCACTTTAGTGGGTAGACCAGAAGCTTCCAGCCAATGATGATGCATTTTGTGGTTTGTAGAGACTTCAAACGAAAGGCGACATCAAGTAACTCAATGAGGTTGTACAAAACGAACATTATCCACAGAAGAAACGAGAAAAATAAAATCAGTAGGAGTGTTTCTTCGCTCCTTCTCTCCAATCACTAGCCAACTTTGATTGATGTCAAGTAATCGCTACTTAGTGATCCAAAACAGCACTGTCTCGCTCTGTGTTATGAGAATCGAGAATATCTATTATCTGGCAATGATTCTGCAGAGTTATCCCCACCATTCGCGATTTCATTCATTTAACTGTGTTCGGCGTTTAGGACTATAAGCGGATAATTTTTATTGATTCATGAATGAATCGAGGTGACTGTCTATTCTGAGCTTCGAGTAATATATTTGAAAGTCTCTAACCTCCAAGGCTTTTTCGACGTCCTCGGGCTTCTTGAAGCACACGATGGCGTGCCGCTCGGCATCTTTCCCCACCACCTTCACCCACGTGACCTTGCCGTGCTTCTTGTACTCGTGGAAGAGGCCGTCCTTGAGCGAGCTGTCGGACGACCGGACGGGCAGGTTGCGCACGCATATCGCCAGAGGGCGCCGGTCGTCCGAGTGGACGACCGGCTGATGGTGGTGGTTGGCGTGGGCGTGGGCGACGGAGGGGGCGGGGCGACGTGTGGACTTGGGAGAGCCGGCCGTGGAGCTGGCGGTGTCGCGGGAGGTTGTTGAGGTGGAGGAGGTGCTACTGCTCCGAGATCTCGACCTGGAATTAGAGAAAAATATATACAGGGTGATCTGTTTAACTCAAGCACAGTCGAATGCCGAAAATTGGTTCTCGGCAAACCTCCTCTTCTTAAACGAGACCTAAACACTCAATACTTTATTCACTTTACGGGAAATAGTGAGATTCCACCTACTGTGAGGTTTTTTGGGAGTTCTCTTAGATTTCCAATTAAACTGTATGCAATAAACTAAACACACACATTTTTGTTCTAAGAATTTTTTCTCAGTGTGTAGATAGAATGGTTGTAAGACAGTGCTATTTTTCCCTATGTCATAGTCACATTTCTTATACGATATTGGTATGGGGACATGCTGCGAGCGCTGTTGAGGTTTTCAAAATTCAACGACGGGCAGTTAGAGTTGTTGCAAGTTTACCCTATCGTGATGACTGTAGGCAAGCATTTAGAGATCTAGACATTTTGACATTCTCATGTGTCTTCATTTTTGAATGTCAAAGCTATGTTAAAAAAACCTTGATCTACTCAGAGACTCACCAGGATAATCATGGCCATGATACAAGAAATAATAAAAACTTGAAACCCAAATTCTGTAGACTAGAAACGTGTCAAGATGGCCCTAGGTGCCTTGCTGTACGTTTTTTCAATGTTTTACCTGACAAATTTAAACACATGAAAGGTTCAAAATTCATAGGAAATCTCAAGAAATTATTACTGAAAAAAGCATTTTATTCGTTTGATGAGTTTTTGAGCTATCGTTTTATGTCCTTATAATTCACTTGTTTGATGTCAAATGTGTAGTTTTTAAGACATTTCAGATGCAATTATTTTTTTTCAATTGGAGAACTCACTCTCCCTCAATGTATATGACATTTGACCTGTGTAAATACATTTATTGTATAATAACACTAATAAACGATTGATTGATTGATTGAACTCGATAACTACGCATTTTGGGGGAAAAACATGAGATCAGTTTCATTGTAGGGGCAGACTAGAACAGTGACATTATTTCCTAACATATAGGAGTCATTTCAAGGACCATTTCAGGGTCGATTTTGTTTTTCAAATGAAACACTATATTTTTCTTTGGGCAATATTGAAAAGCACAAATAATCCAGTTGAAGGCATCTTCACACTATTCGCTGATGACACCACAGTATTTTGGCGTGCCAAGAACAGTAGTGAACTCAAAGAGATGATATACATTGATATAAACAGTATTAAAGTTTGGTGTGATTCTAATCGACTTGTTCTCAATATTTCAAAAACAAACTTATTAACCTTCCGATGCTCACTGGAGGACATACCCCTTGGGTCAAATATCATTGAAAATATACTCAACACAAAATTCCTTGGATTGTTTATCGATACTAGGTTGAGATTCGAGGAACACATTCAGGCCTTGAGGAAAAAAATATCTTCTGGGTGTTTTGCTGTCAAGATTGTCTCAAAGGAGTTGGGATTGGGTGCGGCTAGAATCGTTTACTATTCCCTAATTGAGTCTCATCTCAGGTATGGCATCCCATTCTGGGGTGCATGTAATGCTAACTGCATGAGCAGTATTCTTATTCTTCAAAAAAGAGGGCTAAGATTTATGTGCAAAGCAAAAATTCGTGACTCCTGTAAGCCTTTATTCATTGAACATAAAATACTCACGATAATTGCAATTTTTATATTAGAAACCGTTTGTTTGATAAGGAAACATCTGAACACGTTTAACAAACTTCCTTCACACTATGTCACTCGACAAGCTATGAACGTAAGTCTGCCACTTCCTAAATCATCACTGATTAAGGATTCTGTTATTTACAACGGCTGCAAGATGTACAATCATCTACCTAGCTATGTCAAAAACACTGCCAATTTGAACATTTTTAGAAAATCTGTGAAAAACTTACTGTTACATAAAGCTTATTATAATTTACAGGAATTTTACTCTGACACATTTTAACACTTTTGTGATTTCCTATTTACTTGTTATCTGTTTTTATATATACAAATTCTGTTTGTGTTGGTTTGTGTATTTAATATGTATTGCGGTTCGTTTTTTTTATACATTTATTTTACATACTAACTGGTATGAAATTGACATATACTATTTTAGTAGGTATTATACATCACATTTTTATTATTTTTTTCAATTATCGACCAGTATGCATTAGACTTAGGTACCTTGATATATTTTTTTTAAACTTAAGCAAACTTTGTCAACAAGAATTTAATTTCTTATGATAATAAAGTATATTCTCTCTTTCTCTCTCTCACATTCGACTTCAAATAAAAGTTCAACTTCTACTGGAATTTCATCTGAAATGACAATGTTATTTCAATACAGAAACGAAGATATAATCGAGGATATAATAGTGATATCATTTTCTGACCTTGGCATCGTTTTTAGAGTATTTGAAGACAGCTTTAATTCAAGGTTCAAATCAATATCAGATAGTACTTTTTTTATTATTTCAACTGGGATTATTTTATTATACAGTTCAACGTTCCTGGGAAAATTGGTGTCCAACTTTAAGCAGCACTACCGGCGTATACACTATTCATTGACCGATCACAAATTTTTGTAGATAATATCATTAGCATGTTGAGATCTACCCCAACTATACAGTGTTTGTTGAGTGAAACAAAATTTGGAATCGGTCAAAGAGCAAAAAAAATACAAGAGTGTTGTTGCTCAAAGGGATAGTCACTGCCCGCATATTTTTTCAATAGTTTTGAATATAATCCTGTTTATATGTATCATATTTTAAATCTCAAATGTATCAATGAATATTCCATGAACACAATATTAGTTTCGCAAATTATAAACAAAGGAGAAGATTTGTAATAAGTTTCACTAGTTGTCGGCAACATGTGTGAATGTAGTTGAATATTAGTAGAAAAAAATTACCTACGTATATGGCAATAATTCTATGCGATAGCAATAATTAATTGCCGACTGGAAGTAATTAGTAGATTAAGATATTATTCACGTGGATTCATTGTACTTGCTCGTGGGATTCTGAATAATTATAGAAAGTAGAACAATATTTATATAATATTAACGCGAAAAACATATATAGGCATAATACCTTGGTAATAATAGTAGGAAATCAAATTATTGAATTGAGATGTAATGGGCTAGTTGACTGCTTTTTCTCAATTTTTATACTGATCTTCACGCTTCCAATTTTATTATTTGTCAAACAATAATAAGAACAATCTATCTTTATTGAAATGAAATAATTGAATACACATTATATACAATCAGTATTAATCAGTTTTACTGGCTATCGACCTAGGTTCTTCAGCTTTTGAGTAAACACTAATAAATGTTATCAACTCTACTCGATTTTATGAATAAACATTATTGATTGTGAAAAAAAATATTGGTGGAGTAAAAATTTTGGCTTGTGACATTTTTTATGTGACTGCTAGAGAAGGTAATTGAAGTAGGGAACACTCGAAGTCATTTCTACAAGTATCCAATAACACTTGTGGAAATGACTGTGAGATTTTGCTTCTTCATCAACATTGAGTATTTTGGCTGTTTCGTAGTTGATGGTGATATTAATTCACTAATCAATTATCGACAACTGAGTATAGACCATTTCACGCAGAATGTGACCCAAGTCGGAACTAATTCGCCATATCGAATTCAATATCCTTTAAATACTGTCTGTAGGTTAATAAAGGAGGTGGTACATTCATTTTCTCTCCTCGTTTCTATAAAAATATGAGTATTATTTCAATATACGTGTAGTAGATTCGTTCCCGAAACGTCCAAAGATAAGTCAAAATCCGATAGTTTTTCAATATATCTATATTTCTTTTCTTTGAACATTTTTCAAATCAAAGTGTCACTGACAAACGATTTGATTTTTCTTGTAGGCTCTCTGATAGAAACGTATTCAAACGCAGTGACATTTTGGGCCTAATCATCTGATTCACACGTACATTGAAATAATAGATTACTGAGGTTAAGTTGTGTTTTTCTGATAGGTTGTGAACTTGTTCATCACCAGCTAGAGTATGGTCGCTCCATGGTTCACCGCACACCATCCTGTATACATAGTGAAAATATTTTACCTGGAAGGAGACCGACTAATTGTACTTCCAGAAGGCGATGGAGACCTGGACCCCGATCTCGATTTCGTTTTCTTTTTTGAACTTTGATCCGAGTTCCGCCTCTCATTGGTCTCGGATGGTGTTGTGCTATACCCTGTATCTGCTTGACTATTACTCGAGGTGCTGTTGTACCTGTAAAATCCAGAAATCATAATCCACCTTTCCAAATTCATCTTCCGCATTCAAATTTTTATTTCGAGAAGTTCTCGAAAAAAATATGGTAGTTACAATGTCAACAACTTTTTCCGTAGACCTAATATTAACGAGTAATAGACCAGGAGATGGTGACAAGTGACGTTCCTTCATTTTACACTGCAGGCAAACAACAAAGACACATCATCGCTAATGTTGCCGGGGTAACAACCGGGTCAAACCAATCCCAACCCCCATTCACAAGACTTCCCTAAGGGGATGACTGCCGGTCACCTGTCTTTCGACTTATACCGACAGCACCCCAGGAAGAAATGAAAAATTTGGATACGCCAAATCAGCGCGCTAGAGCCATCTCCGTTATGTAACGGCATGTTCTACTGCTACCATTTTACCAATGGTGAGGCCGTCTGATAAAACAGACTACTGGCTCTGCAGTGTCAGTACAGATACGCTGCTCAATTGCCGAGGCTGGCAAGATATCCTCCCACTTGACCCATAGTGGGATTCTTCTTCACCTCCTCTACCGTAGTCCGGTGGTGTTTTTCGGAAACCGCTGCCCCTGGAGTCCAACCCAATTGGTGAGGCATCAGGTCTCGCAACCTGTTGAGGCTATCCTCATCACCCCAGGTAACCATGTCAACAAAATTCCTCTTGTTACGTTTGATGGCTCACCGTCGCAAGAGGCTTTTGCCCATTTGCTACTCATGTTGACAAGAATCCTCTCGTCCGTTGAATGAATGATCGTTCGAGGACTTTTACACCCGGCTTTACGATGTCTGGCGATAGGATCGCTTGGGGCTGGCCCCTCCCTGACGAACTAAGGCATAAGGTACACCAGAGTTCCAGTTTTCGCTGAGCAAGCCCAGCTACCCATGTCGACCAGAATCCTCCAGTCCCGTTTGATGGGTGTCCGTTCGCGGCAGTTTACACGTACCGCTACCATGACAAGAGTGATGACCTCAAGCTGTTAACCAGAGGTGTCTGGAGTCACCTGGGGTTACCCCCACCCCGTCGCCGTGAGTACATGGTGGGCCCACGACCGACAACGAAGACACAACAGGCTCGAGTGATTCGAAGGCTCAGTGCCATTCAAAGGCAAGCTGGCCTGAGCGCCACTGCTGCAAAGAAAACCAGTCCAACAGCCGCTTCAGAGGTCCTCTCGAACTTGCCACCACTACAAATATACCTTCAAGGCGAAGCCCGAGCAGTCGTGAGTAGATTGTCCAGGGATCAAGAGATGGAAAGCGACCCCATCATGGTAATGCCAACAGATGGCATAATTCCAAAATATAGCTTTGAAAAAACTTTTGAATAAGTATAACGGACAGAGAGGCATGGAGGGACCTCCTATCAATGCAGACATTGCTGTCAATGCGGGCGGTCCAAAACTGAGGAAGGGTCGGGAGCTGGTATCTATGGGGCCAAGCCAAAGACACGAATCTCACTAAGCTTAGGCGAATTTAATACGCGACGGATACATCATTGCGTAAAAGAATTGATGAGGCATGAGTTTAAAGGGAAAACCATTGCTGATCAGCTAACTTAATTCAAGTTAACTCAAAGCTAGTATGAGACTGCTCAGAAACCCTAAATGAACTGAGCAGTCAGAACAGACTCACTCTTGCATGGGTACCAGCACATACAGGGTACGAGGGCAATGAAGAGACAGACTCACTTGCCCGAGCAGGAGCAAAGAAAGCTCTGAATGGCCCGGAACCCATTTGTGGTATTGCGAAAGCTATAAAGACAAGTTTCAAATCATGGATGCAAATCTAATCTCAAGAAAGGTGGAACAACTCGCCAGGAATGAGACAGGCCAAGGAATTTATTAAAAAACCATCCCCAGCAACATTCACAGAATATCTACTAAGCCAGAAACGAAGTACAACTAGAATACTAGTGGGACTTCTCACAGGGCATTGTAGGCTCAACAAACACATGAGTACGACAAGTCTGATTGAAGACCTGCTGTGCAGGTTCTGTCAGGAAGAGGAGGAAACAGCAGTACACATACTTTGCCACTGGGCTTGTCAAGACTAAGGTTCCTTACACTGGGTGAGGAAAAACGAAGAGTCCAAAGTTACACAGGGGATCTGAAAGCTAGGTTATGGAGTCTCATAAAGAAGGCGGGGCTAGCCAAAGAACTTCCAACGATTTTGAGGGCAGACATAATATATCTGAAAAGTTCGCGGTGTGGAGGCAGATAGCCCGAAGGCCTCATTCTAAATCTAAATCTAATATCAGAATCGCTCTATTCAACAAAAACAATCGAAAAATGTTAAATTTGCATAGTGTATAATGACTTACCATTGATAGTAAAAACGTCACCAAATGTTATAGTATTCAAAACTAGATTAAGGCAAATGTATGTACATGAATATTTAATATCATTGTTTATGTTCTTAAGATAGTGTCAATAATTGTAAATGGGCGAATGGACTGATTATTGGGATTCAATTACTCCATTGTGTCGTTAAGGCCCTAAGACCCTAAATTAATTTTTGCAACACTTCTGAAGTTCTTTTTTTTGTAAATAATGAGACTATGTTTGTTCAGAATTGTTGAATTTCAGAGATCATTTCAAACGTACCGTCATGGCCGCCATTTGGTGATACGTCGAATAAATATGGTGACGTCAGCTCTTATGCTGTTTCGTTATTGGTCAGAGAATCTTCCATTCCCACTCATGAAGCAAGGTTGTCAGGAAACCAATTATAATCAAGTTATAAAAAAGTTATTAGATTCTTGTCACTCCTGTCTTTGAATGAAACAGGAGATCAGCTCGATAAAACACATAACAGGAGGAAGCGAGGGAAGAAGTCACGATATTAAAGTTCATTCTCGACTTTTTCGAGCAACCAGTGTATCCAAATATTTCTAGTACTCCAAAACAAAATAGCATGTTAACGTTGAAGACTTGACAACAATGTACTGTATGCTGAAAACTGATAAGGCACTGTCCACAATTCGTGCGCCGTGTTGTCACGTTCACCGGTTCAAATGTGCTCTAGTATGAATTATTATTATTAACACGAATGTATTATAAGCAATAAGCCACAGCACATGAGAAAACATTTTGAAACAATTGATTTTTTATTGATAATTAGGAATATTTCCAATACATAATTGAGAATTTATGAATTATTGAATAACTATTTCTGAAGTTCCCAGTCGTATTTCAACAAATGGCAACTGTGCTATGGCTATGGTCTGCCAATACTCACGAGATTGTGACGTCAGTCTATACTCGCGGTAAATGGGCTCATATCACAAAAAAAATTTATTTCATAATTCGATAGAACTCACACCGCAAACCGTTTCTTGCTGTGAGCTCCCTACGTTTTATAAAAAATTATTGAAATCCTCGATTTTTCGGACCTCTGAAAACGAGCCGATGATGTGACGTCAAAACCCTAATACTGAAACAAGACTATTCCAGACAGATATGAATGATACATGATTTCTGACAGAGTGAATTAGCGCGAGATCACAGTTGAAAGAATTAATATATCAGTTGCCTCAGTCTCCGTCGGGCGTTTGGTATTTTCTTTTAACTATGGCGAGATGAGGTTTCTACGTCATAAGAGGGTCCTTTTTCAGAAGGTACTATTATTTATGTCCAAAAATAAAACATTCCAGTTGATTTTTCGATCGAATTATGTCGTCAATAATTATTTATGTATAAAAGGATCATTATAAACATGATTTGAGTTAAAAGTTCTACTAAGGTGTACACGCCCATTTCTAGCCGTTAGAAAATTACCGTGGCATTATTGATGATTTTAGCACCTGAAAATCGACCGAAAAATTCTAAAAAAATATGAAATTGAAAGGTATTCAAATGATGATTCTATTCAAGTAATAAAAAAAAATAGTCCACTCGCCTATTATACCGGGTATTTCTCAAAAGGGGCTCACCCCAATAACTTTGTTGGTTCCATGAATAAACAAACGAAATTCGGTGTATAAGTATAGTAAATAAGTGTTGAAAAGGAATATTCTCAGATAAATTATGAACATACAAAAATGGATATATATTTATATAAAGCAATACATTGAGAATTCGCATTCTCTATGTGATAAGAAAATCTACTCTTTTTCAGTTTATTCAATAGAAAACAACTACTTCTGAGGTCCTACTAGGTCTGCCCCCTTTACATCTGATTGTAGAGCATGAAGCCATGCGCACTGCCTACAGACTCAAAGGTGCAAACCAATGGATCGAAAAGGCAGACTATGGACACTCCCTAATATGGAACAAGGCCGAAGAGAGCTGTCCCAGTCTGCTGATGGTAAGGGACAGCACTCTGCCAGTTCTGAATTTCAATAAAGCTCCGCATGTCATTTTTCCTACAAGAGAGGAATGGACTGGCAATACACCAGGCTTGCTTCCTGCCAACGAATCAACCTGGTTCACGGATGGCTCAAGGTTTGGTGGCGGGTCTGGTGCAGGAGTATATGAAGGAGGAACAGGGAAAGGAATCTCAGTACCTCTTGGCAAATACGCTTCAGTGTTCCAGGCCGAAGTGTTTGCAATTCTGACGTGTGTCCAAGAAAATTTCGGCAGAAGTGGACGTGGACCAGTCACCATATGCTCGGACAGTAAAGCTGCTATTATGGCAATGAGATCCAATAGGATCACAACTAAATTGGTGTCCGAGTGTAGAAGTGCCTTAGAAAATATGGTATCCCGGGGAACGAGGAGGCAGACAGACTAGCCAAGATCGGTTCAGGAACGACACCCATTGGACCAGAACCGATATTGGGAATGCCCAATAGTACGGCTATGTCCTTCATGAAGGAAATGCTACAGAGGCAGTTCCTTGAAACATGGTGGGACACACCAGGAATGAGACAATCAAAGCTCCATATAAAGGAACCTTCAAAAAGGCTCACGAGAGAGATCCTGTCACTTAATAGAAGGGATCTCAAGATGGTAGTTGGGCTCTTAACTGGGCACAACCACCTCAACAGGCACCTAGAACTCATAGGGATCAAAGATGATCCCATCTGCAGATGGTGCTTGGAAGATGATGAAACATCATCACACATACTCACTGAATGCCCCGCGCTGGTGCATCAGAGGAAAGCTGCCCTTGGGAGCATTGTACTGCACCCAAAGGATGTGAAAGTGACTCAGCCGAGGAAGCTGATGAATTTCGTCAAAGAAATCGGCATACCCAGCTGATTCACAGGACAAGTGGGCGCACAATGGGCCCGACTGAAGAGGCCTGAGTGCAGGGGTCTACGCACCCGCCCACCTGTGCAGAGAAGAAGAAGAAGAAGAAGAACAACTACTTTCCTGGCTATATGCCACGACGAACATTGAATTATATCTATTGTACACACACGATAAGAGTTTGAAAATAAAATATAAAAACTTCTGAAATTGAGAATTTGCATTCTCCTTCAGACAAAAATATGTATATGCACACATCATTCTGAATATTCAACAGAAAACAACTACTTTCCTGGCTATTTGCCACGTCGAACATTGAATTATATCTGATGAACTTTCAAAAGGAGAACATGAAAAAATAAAAAATAAAATCCTCCGAAATTGAGAATTGACATTCTTCTTCAAATCGAATGAATAATATGATGTATAGTAAATAAATATGCATTATTTGACGTATTCAATTGTTTTCTGTCACTTCCGGTTTGACCGGAAATGATCCAAATTTTCTTATTCCAAACGGGACACCCGGTATATTTTTACATATTTCTATAGAGAATAACATTGTGAGTACAATGACACCCCATTTGCCACTTTTTGACATTTATCATCCTGAAATTTTCATTTTTCAATTTTTAATCTAGCGATTATGATACTGGATATTGATTCAAAATATCGATTGTGTGGTATCAACGTGTTCGTAACAAAATACCCTTTCCAGATATGGTAATGAGCCACCCTTGTTCTATTCGAAAAAATTGAGTAAACATCATAATTACGATATTGTGAAACCTGTAAAACAAATGAAGAGTAAAGATTCATCGAAATTATTTTCCCTAGGCAACATGATTCAAAATCGACTGTTTCAGATCATTCATGACACTCTAGATTGAAAATTGAAAATTCCATGACGATAAATGTCAAAAAGTGGCAAATGAGGTGTCATTTTACTCAGAATGTTATTCTCTACAGAAATATGTTAAAATATACAGGGTATCTCATTTAAAATAAGAAAATATGGGTCACTTCATGTCAAACCGGAAGTGACATAAAACAATTGAACACGCCAAATAATGCATATTTATGTACTATACTTACACACCGAATTTCATTTGTTTATCTGTATAAAATATACAGTGTGTCCATTTAGTGCGTAATTCTTCGATATCTCCAAAGCCATAACCTATAGAAAAAAACTTTGAATAAAAAACTTCTTCAGTTACTCAAGTTGCTTATTTCAAAAATATTTTCAACATTACTGGGTGTTTTATAAAAGCGGGATGACTCGGAGACCGGTTTTTTTAAATGGAACACCCTGTATTGTTTATTCGAAATCTATTGCGCCGAGGTTTACCTTCACATCGCTGTGAAAAAAAATTGAAATCGGTTACGGCGTTGCCAAGTTATAATTGATAAATCTATTTTTACTACTATTGAAGAGTCATGTTGAATTGGGCATGGTATATTCATTTATTCAAATTTTGAAAATATTTTTGGCATACGGTAGTAGCAAGGTCTCACGTATACAAATTCCGTCACTTTGCGACATGTTCTTTAACAGGGTTCTCTATTTCGCATTTAGAATTTCGCAAGATTCAGATGGCATTCATTAGAATTTTTCAAATGGAACACCCTGTATTTTTTTCCACAAATTTATTCCGACATCTTTCACCTTTTTATCGCTGAAAAAAAATCATAATCGGCTGCGGCGTTGTCAAGTTATGGATAATTTCCTTATTTTTACTATACTATTTCGGAGTACAATTTTTACGTCATAGTTCTTTCATTCAAATAATCAAATTTCTTCATTGACCATTCATATATTTTTTTTACAATAGGAACATTTGCACGCTCTCCAAGTTTGAATTTAAAACAGAGTGAATTTGACAAATTGATCCAAAATGCTACTTTCACAGATTTTTTGCAGACAACGAATTGATTTTTCGAAGTACACTTTCATTATTCGTGTAATGACCTGTCAAACATCGTCACAATCAAATATATCTTGAATTTATTTAAAATGTTGCTGAATTCCCTCCCGAAACCCGCGTAGTAAAGAAATATTGTTTGTATCATTATGTAGAGTTTGCCTCCTTCAAGTTTGACGGAGATTTGGTTTGTGGGAATAACGACAATAAAAGTGGTCCAAATTTCAAAAAAATGACCTTATTCTCGCAATTCAAATCTCCATTGTTTGTATTGTAGAAGTTGTTTTGAAGGCAGTCGTTTTGCTTTTGGCATGTTTGTTTCACATAGGTACATATTATTTAAATCATAAGTAACAAGATTACGGAATATTTTCAATTTTGACAATGCTTATATCGCAAAGATACCTGAATGATCTATGTAGAACCTCGAATGTCATGTGGCAAGCAATATTCCCACAATCAAATTAAATAAAGGTATGTCTCATAAGTTGCCCTGAGATAGTGATGAACATAAGGAAATTACTCATAACTTGAAAACCCCGCAACCGATTTCAATTTTTTTTTCAGCGATGAAAAGGCGAATGATGTCGAAATAAATCTGTGATGAAAAATACAGGGTGTTCCATTTGAAAAATTCTAGTGAACGTCGTCTGAATCTTACAATATTCAGAGTGTAAATTTTAGCACCCTGTAAAGGATAATCTCGCACAATTACTGGATTGGTGTACGTGAGACCTTGCTACTACTGTATGCCAAAAATCTTCTCAAAATTTTAATAAATGAATATACCATACCCAATTCAACATGACCCTTCAATAGAAGTAAAAATGGGTTTATCAATTATAACTTGGCAACGCCTCAACCGAATCCAATTTTTTTCACAGCGATGTACAGCTAAACCGTAGCGGAATGAATTTTGAATAAAAAAATCTGGGTGTTCTATTTGAAAAAACTCGTCTCCGAGTCCTCCTGCTTTTATAAAACACCCAGTATTGTTGGAAATATTTTTGAAATGGAACCTTCAATAACGGAAGAAATTTGTTTCCAAAATTTTTTCTCTAGTGATAATGGATTTCGAGATATCGAAGAATTACGCACTAAATGGACACACTGTATATTATAGGGGGAGAGCCACTTTTGAGAAACACCCCGTATGTAATGTAATAGCTATTGGGATGAATAAACGTCTACTCTTTTCTATAATACGTATTCTTACCTGGACGACGAAGACGACTCGTACCCCCAACCCCCGCCGACCGTCCCCGTTGCTGTCGTTGCCGCTGCCGCCGCCCCCGCCGACCCCGATGCCGCCCCCGCACCGACCGTCCCCACGCCCGCCCGGCCGCCCGAGACGGTCCCCGCCGTCGCGGCGGCCGCTCCCGCTGGCGGCGGCGGCGGCGTCGTCGAACTCGCGTACGGCCCGTTGCGGAGAAAGGGGGCGGCCCTAGGGAGGCGGGGCGCGCGCGCCGTCCCGTCGTGGTGGTGGGCGGCGGGGGCGGCTGAAGAAGGGATGGCCGGGGCGGCGGCGACGGAGGGGGGAGCGGCGAGGCGCGACGCGGCGGCCGGGCGGTCGTAGAAGCGGTCCGAGAACGAGGAGGCGGTGCCGTGTTCCTCGGAAGTGGACCTGCAACCGAAAAAGAACAAATTTAATTATGTGAAGGCGGTTTTTGGGTTCTATAATTGTGGTTCTAAAATTGAGGAGCGATCAGCCAAAACTAGATAAATCCACTTTAGGGCAAAAATGATTTTTTCTACTCACATAACTAAAATGGCAGTTAGCGTACGGATATGTACGACGCTAAATGATCGATTAATCACGGATTGACGATCTGTGATTTATTCAAAATATTAAACACGTTACCATGGCAACACGCTTCCTTAAACACATTACCATGGCAACACAGTTAATTAAACACAGCTTCAGTAATTCAAGACATGTCTGGTCTGTTAATTGTATTTGCTATTTTCAAATTTTGTATCAGAATTATTCAAACAATATTCGTTTGTATCAGAATTCTTCATTAAGAATATATGCGGAACGTAGACGAGAGTGAAATCGAAGAGAATGTTCTGGTACTTGCATATCTGCAAGAAGTGTAAAAATGAAGCATCCATCTTTGAAAAAAATTTATTCATTCTGTGCTAAGCATGACAATTAACGTGAAACAAAGCTTAGTAAGCAATGGACTGGACACATCTACAACCAATATCACTTATACGTGTCTCGCTGGTTGCATGCAGTTGCATGTATTATGTTCTCAATTCCCATTCCTTTCGAATTATTTTGTAGGTTAGCAGGAATAATAGGTATGTTAATGTAATTTTCGGAGTTCGTAGAAAAAGCATAGTATGTAACGCGTTTACAAACTCTTCTAGACACTCGTTTATTAAACACTCGCTCCGCTCTGCTCCGCTCGTGCTTAAAATACTCGTTACGAAACGGACGTTTATAACACTTGTTACATAATATACTAATTTTCTACTCACATAACTAAAATGGCATTTAGCGTACGGATATGTACTACGCTATATATATGATCGATTAATCACGGATTGACGATCAGTGATTTATTCAAAATATTAAACACGTTACCAATGTTACCATGGCAACTCGATTCCCTAAACACATTACCATGGCAACACAGTTCATTAAACACAGCTTCAGTAATTTGAAACAGTCTAACCTGTCGATTGTAAGAACTGTCAACTGTCATTTTCGAATTTTGTGTCAGAATTATTCAAACAATTTCCGTTTGTATCAGAATTCTTCATTAAGAATATATGCGAAATGTGGACGAAAGTGAAATCGAAGGGCAAAAATTGTTTCGTCAATTAATGAGCAATTTGCTATACTAGCTACCCACCAATTGTCAAAACCCTATCTCGAATAATTCAAAAGTTACAGTCCAGGTCGTTTTTTGTGCATTTCTCTGTATATAAATTTTCAAAACATTTTGATGTTGAGGAAGAGCGTAAAATATACAGTATGCCATCAGTTTAGTTAATCCTACGAAAAAGCCACAATGCTCACAGTGGAATGAAATGATAAATAAATGTAAAAAGCTCAAAGTCATCCCCACACAGTGTTCATAAAATGAACAACAATGGTAGATTTCGGGAGAAAAACAACTACTTTCCTGGCTAATGCCAAGCAGAACATTGAATTACATCCTCCCGAAATCTATGCATCGACTCGTTTAAACGAATACTGATACAAGTGATTCTTTCCTGAATGCCTATTGATTTCGATTAAGCCAGGCCGCTAGACAACCACAGACCGGTTTCGAGCTCTTTGACTCTCATCAGTGCAGTGTAGTCTCCAGCCAGCAGTCCTAAGACCGCCGACTCAGCGAAGCCTAGCCAAACAAAAATCAAGTTGGCATTATATCCACCCCGAGGCGCCTTTCATCGATAAAATGAAAGTAACACCATTGTTGTTCATTTTATGAACACTGTGTGGAAATTACTTTGAGATTCTTACATTTATTTATCATTTCATTTCACTGTGAGCATTGTGGCTTTTTCGTATTTGTTATTACGCCAGTCGGGCTGCCAGCCACTCCCGTATGGGAATTTCAGTTTTGGAGTGATTCTTTCCTCGGTTCTACTCAGATGGCGTTACTTTCATTTTATCGATGAAAGACGCCTCGGGGTGGATATAATGCCAACTTGATTTTTTTTTTTGGCTAGGCTTCGCTGAGTCGGCGGTCTTAGGACTGCTGGCTGGAGACTACACTGCACTGATGAGAGTCAAAGAGCTCGAAACCGGTCTGTGGTTGTCTAGCGGCCTGGCTCAATCGAAATCAATAGGCATTCAGGAAAGTACTTGTATCAGTATTCGTTCAAACCAGTCGATGCATAGATTTCAGGAGGATGTAATTCAATATCCTGCGTGGCATTAGCCAGGGAAGTAGTTGTTTTTCTCCCGAAATCTACCATTGTTGTTCATTTTGTGAACACTGTGTGGAAATGACTTTGAGCTTTTTACATTTATTTAGTTAATCCTCTTCAGTTACCCTTTCGATTTCTGAGCATTCTGTGACGGTGTCAAAACCTTGAACATTCACAATCAATAATAATAATAATAATTATTGTCGGTTCTTTCACCTGCGGTTTAGTTATAGTTTGTGGCGGTCAACGATTGATTTGAGTGACGCATTTTTTACTTTTAGATAATTATTATTGAACATCGTGATTGATAATGGCGAACGTGCCAGGGATTTCCTAGATACGTTCAATAAATAGCATAGAAGCCATGTTCAAGAATTTGAGGTTGAAATATGAATCATGAATACCTGTTGTGAAGGTGACTAGGGGAATGATAAAGAAAACATTTCAAAGTTACATACTCCTATCAGCAAAAATGCAATGGATTTTCATTTCTCTAGATATTTGGAATTTTTTCTATGAAAATATGAGTATCATTTCAATACATTTTACAGGGTGAACAACTAAGAACGGCTGTCGGCCATATCTCGGCCATATCTCAGCCATATCTCACCCTGTACATGCTGTCCCATTTTTGATGTCCTTACGGGATATCTCACTTATTTTTAAAGATAGAGAATATCTCTACTGAAACGATTCTAGATAACATATTATGAAAAGAAATATCCAGGTCCGGACTAAGGAAAATTCCATGTTTCATTGTTATGTCAAAAAAGTTCACTTGTGACCAGTTTTATCGAAAAATTCCATCAGATTCCGAAAGATCATACAAAATGCTATAAGAACTGCTCTTCAATTTACACGGCACACTTTGACCGGTTCAATAAAAAAATATGGAACAAAATCGTTCGAATGAATTTTAAATTTCGACTTGGCTGATAGCTGTCAACTTTCAACTGAAAAAAACACGATTTTTTTATCGAAATTCCAGATAGATATATTATTATTCCTGACTTTGTTTTAAGGGTGTCGCTTGAAGTAATAATAAGATATCTCTAGTAGGCCCTGTGTTTCATTTGTGTGACGAGACGTGACATTTGTTGATAATCCAAACCCAAACTGATAGGTAGGTACTAGGCTAGTCCAAGGTAGGTACCAACTGATGAAATTACGACATGAGGATTCATGTGCCCATATTATGGTGATTCATCAAATTAGTTATGCCATCACGCATAAACTTAGCTCCATTTTTTGTTATTGATACACTTCTGCAAATGATTTAAGGATGCATTTGCTATTTATTCAAAGTTCCTAATGTTCATCCTCGTGAAGGTTTAACTGCAACGTATTCTTGGGTCTGGAAATATTTTATGGTATTAAACATAGCATAGCATTTGGATTTTCGTCTTCTTCAGCATTTGGAATATGAAGTGGCATCTAGAGTGCAAGAATATTTCGATTACCAGTTTTTACCTATCAACAAACGCCACGTTACATAAAATAAAAACAGGGACTTTATAACAAATTTATAAAATAGAGGCACGAGTAATCATATCTATCTAGAAGTTCGGTCGAAAACTAACATGTCAAATCATAAAAAAAATCAGAACTACTCTCTTCTGTCAATTTCTATCCAATGAAAATGTACAAAAAAATCAATTTACACAAATCCAGTTGAAAGTTGAGAGTTATCAGCCAGGTCGACATTGAAAATTCATTCAAACGTTTTTGTTCCATATTTTTTCATTGAATTGGTAAAAGTGTGCCGTGCAAATTGAAGAGCAGTTACTATAAAATGTTGTCTGATCTTTCTGAATCTGATGAAATTTTTCGAGAAAAGTGATCACAAAGTGAACTTTCATGACGTAACAATGAAACATGAAATTTTCCCAAGTCCGGACCTGGATAATATGTTATCTTGAATAGTTTCAGTAGAGATACGTCGCTGCCAAATTTCAGCAGATTACGATGAATCATTTCTGAAATATCGGCCATCAAAGTTATATAGCAATTTCACATACTTAATACCCTGTATCTTCATTATGGAGGGTCAAAAAATGTTTTAATATATGTATACATCAACTCGTCTTGATTTCCCCTATTAATCATTTGGCTATGTGAGTTTTCTCATGAAACGCCCTGTATATATATCACTCATACAATATTGTGAGTATTAGCCTTGAGTTTAGATAACTCACAATTTTTCAACCTTTTGTCAGTGTGTGGCAATACTTTTAATATCACGAATATTCGATGACACTTTGTTCTGCAATATGTTTGAAGAGGAATAGATATATCGAAGAAATAAGAATTTTTCCTTTTAAGCTTTCTGATTGTGGAATTTTCAAATTCAGTGACATTTTGGGGCAAATCATATCTCATTTGTTCTTATTAAAGGTGTATATTGAAATAATATTCACATTTTTATCTCCGAATTACGAGGGGGGGACAAGCTTACACTTGAAGCGAAACACACTGTATACAGTAAGATTTTTTAATCGCTCCCCTGATTACTTGTAGATGTCATTATTCAGAGGATAATATCATGCAATTAGGACATCAAAATTGAAGTTCCATTCTCTTCATAAATTCCATATTGTATACAGCAATTTTAGTTTCATTTCACTGAATTTTGAGAATAATGATGCTATAATTTCACATTCTAGTGATCTGATAACGGATGTTATTCGCGTTAGATGATGGCATGCTGGCAAATGTTAGTATGATGACAAATTT